TGTCCTCCAGTGCTTGCAACCACTCCCAGTTTGGTGTAATCTGCAAATTTTATAAGCATACTCTCCACTCCATTATACAAGTTATTAATTAAAATACTGAATAGTATTGGAGCTAGGACTGACCTCTGGGGGATCTTACTAGATACACCCTCCCAATTTGACAGTAAACCATTAATAACTACTCTTTGAGTAAGATATTTCAGTCAGCTGTGCGCTCACCTTATAGTAATTTCATGTAGACCACATTTCCCAAGTTTGCTTATGAGACTGTTGCATGGGACTGTGTCAAAAGCCTTACTAAAATCAAGGCATAACACATCTCCTGCTTCCCCCCAACTACTAGGCCAGTAACTCTGTCCAGGAAGGAAATTTGGTTGGTTTGGCATGATTTGTTCTTGACAAATCCATGCTGACTATTCCTTATAACTCTATTATCCTCTCTGTGCTTACAAATTGATTGTTTAATAATTTCTTCTATTGTCTTTTCAGATATTGAAGTTAGACTGACTGGTCTATAATTTCCTAGATCCTCTTTGTTCCCCTTTTTTAAGGAAAGTATTATGTTTCCCCTTCTCCACTCCTCTGAGACCTCACCCATCCCCATGAATTCTCAAAGATAATTGCTAATGGTTCTGAGATTGCTTCAGCTGGTTCCTTAAGTACTCTTAATTCCCTAAAGTCCTGATGCTACTGTGAAGCTCACTTTCTATTTTTTTCTATACACCACTTTCATCACCATAGTAGCCAAGTGCCTTCCAGTAGTGAATTAAGCAATGTGACTACACATCTGTCACATGTTGTTTGTTCTCTCATCTTCTCCCCACGGTAAGAAGCGTATGCAATGAAGTGTCTTTTTGTGATAGAGTTTAGAGTATTTTTTTTAAAATATACATGTTACTATGCATTTGTATTAGAAAAGTGAAGGTCAAATAAATGCATCTTTTACTTGGAGAAGAAGGTGGTGAGGTTTGTGACGGTCCTTAGTTCCTGAGAGAATTTATTTCACAGTCCCAGAACTGCACAGCTGTTTTGTCTGGTAGAAGCAACTGTTACACTGTCCCATTTACAGTTGTGAATGGACCATAGAAATGGCATGAATATGTATTTGTCTTACTATAATTTCATTTTCCTGAGTGGGGCAGCATATCAATTGTAAAACCATCAGTGCCAGGCCTACCTTACAAGGCTATCAATGCCATTCCCTAAAAGGATCCTCCCTTACCAGCATCTAGGATCTCCTACGAGGTCAATGCCCCTCTCTTCCCTTTTCCATTCCCAGCTACTGTTTTAAATGTATCTACTGATCTTTCAATTTTTGTAAAAATATTTGATTGCAATTTCATTGTAACCTCTATTCCACTAGGTGGCACTTGTTGTCTACATAACGAGCCTGTAGCCTTCAGTTTATGGTATTGTCCAAGTAAATCATCTGTTCAGTGGCAATAAATAACTGATGACATCAGATTTTATATTTATTGCACAGTCCTTCCATCTCTCATGAAAATGCATACACATTGGGTAACATCCTGCATCTCAATAGATATTAATTATACAGTTCTGTGTTTCTCAACCTTTTCAGGTTGGCAACCCTTTATTCAAAGTAAACAAAATATCACAACTCTCTACCTTACATTTACTATAAAAGTAAGAATAAAAAAAGTATCAAGGATAACAATAGTAACCGTATATAATTTATTTGTTTGTATGTGTCTGTGTAGGTTGACAGAGCATACTTGACTTTGAAATGTAAGGTGTGTGACCAATGGGGAAGTGAGATTTTTCTTTACTTTAGATTGTAATAGAATTTGTAAGGCTTTCAATTAATTGCAGTTAACTCAAGCAATTAACTCAACACAAATTAACTTGATTTAAAAAATTAACCGTGATTAATCACAGTTTTAATTGCACTGTTAAACAATAACAGAATACCAATTTAAATTTATTATAAATATTTGGCTATTTTTCTACATTTTCAAATATATTGATTTCAATTACAATGCAGAATACAAAGTATACAGTGATCACTTTATATTATTATTTGTATTACAAATATTTGTACTGTAAAGAAGATAAACAAAAGAAATAGTATTTTTCAATTCACCTCATACAAGTACTGTAGTGCAATCTCTATCCTGAAAGTGCAATTTATAAAACTTTAGAGCCTACAAGTCTACTCAAGCCTACTTCTTGTTCAACCAATCGCTAAGACAAACAAGTTTGTTTACATTTGCATGAGATAATGCTGCCTGCTTCTTATTTACATCACCTGAAAATGAGAAAAGGTATATGCATGGCACTGTTATAGCCAGCATTGCAAGGTATTTATGTGCCGGATAAGCTAAATGTTTGTATGCCCCTTCATACTTTGACGAGTAGATTGCACTTTTTTACAGTGCAAATATTTGTAATGAAAAATAATAATATAAAGTGAGCACTCTACACTTTGTATTCTGTGTCGTAATTAAAATCAATATATTTGAAAATGTAGGAAAACATCCAAAATATTTATAATAAATTTAAAATGGTATTCTATTGTTTAACAGTGTGAATAAAAATGCAATTAATTGTGATTAATTTTTTTTCCGCTTGACAGCCCTAAAAATTTGCAATGGCTCACATCTATCCGATTGCCTTTTGTGACACCCCCCAATAGCTTGCAATCCACCAGTTGAGAAAAATTGATAGCTCATCATGCTCTGATGTGTCCCCTGCACCACAAGGTAAAACAACTGCTATTGCCAGAAGCTGGGAATGAGCGACAAAGAACTGATCACTTGATGATTACCTGTTCTGTTCATTCCCTCTGAGGAACCTAACATTGGCCACTGTCCGAACACAGGATACAGGGTTAGATGGACCTTTGGTCTGACCCAGTATGTTATGTTCTAACGGTCACAAATCTTGAACGACTTTCCCCCCCCAACATTGGTTACACTTTACTGTGAATGCAAAGAAGTATCAGTTCAACAGTGGGGCCTGTTCAAGAGAAAGTAACAACGTCCTTGTTAAAAGAAAAGGAGTACTTGTGGTACCTTAGAGACTAACCAGTTTATTTGAGCATTAGCTTTCCTGAGCTACAGCTCACTTCATCGGATGCATAAAGTGGAAAATACAGTGAGGAGATTTATATACACACAGACCATGAAAAAATGGGTGTTTATCATACACATTGTAAGGACAGTGATCACTTAAGATGAGCTATTACCAGCAGGAGAGTGGGATGTAGGGAGAGAAAACCTTTTGAAGTGATAATCAAGGTGGGCCATTTCCAGGAGTTAACAAGAACTTCTGAGGAACTGTGGGGGGGAGGGGGAGAGGAGGAATAAACAAGGGGAAATAGTTTTACTTTGTATAATGATTCAACCACTCCCAGTCTCTATTCAAGCCTAAGTTAATTGTATCCAATCTGCAAATTAATTCCAATTCAGCAGTCTCTCCGTGGATTCTGTTTTCGAAGTTTTTTTGTTGTCCTTGTTGGGAAAGCAACAGCCTGTTTACTAGGCGGGAAAGCTGCGCAGGGGCAGGACATTCCAGGAGGTCGAGGGGGGCGCTGCGGGGTAATCTCCGAAAGGGGCGCCAGGAGCTGGGGGCGTGGGGCTGAGGGGCCCAGTGTCCTGAGGGGACCCGGAGCGGTTTAGCATTATGTGGTGACGCAGCTCTGACTCAGAGGCCGTGTGGACCGGCCTCTGAGGACCAGACCGAGTCCTTGCCCTGCACAACAGGCAGCGAAAGATCTGGTGACGCTCCCGCCGACGGAGTGAAAGAGCGAGCTGCTCTCTGACTCGGCCGGTTAGCCCGGCTTCTCTCTTACTATTGGTTCGCTGGGCCGTGGCCTCCACCAATCCTGGCCCTGGTTTCCTGACTCCGCCCTATTCCGCAGCCCGCTCCGGCTGCCGCCGGCGCCGGGCACGGAGGGAAGGAGCCGGAAGAGGCGGGGCTGAGAGGATGACGGCTCCCCCCCTGCCGCGGCAGCCGTTGGGCCTGTCAGGCAAGTCGAGCTCAGATTGGCCGCGCGGTTCTGCTCTGGGGGATGGCTCGGTAGCTCCGCCCCCAGGCTGGGGACGGATGGACGGAGCGATGGCGAGGCCGGGCACCCTGCGGCATCACAAGGTACCAGCCGTGGGGGTCGTTGGGGGGCCGAGCTCTGGGGGTTGGGTCTCCCCTGGAGGTTGGGGGCTGGGCGCGGTGTATTCTTGCTCTGGGATCCTGAGGGGAAGGACTGTTATGGGGGGACTGGGCGCCTTCAGCGGCGGTTTAGGGGTCGCTTTCTCTGCGGGTTGAGGGCACTGGGCGTCTGGGGCAGGGAGAGGAGGGCGTCTCGTTTTCGGGGCTCCTGGGGGCTTGGAAGGGACTGGGTGGGCTCCCAGGTCAGGGGGTGGGGACTTTCCTCTGGGAGTTACTAGGGGTGAGGGGTTGGGAGGTGACTGGGCTCACGGGTCAGGGGAGCTCTCCTCTGGGGGTCATTATGGCTGTGGGGGTTTGGGAGGTGACTGGGCTCATGGGTTGAGGGGGCTCTCTGGGGGACACTCACGGAGGTGCCTGAGCTCATGGGGGCTCTTCGCTGGGGGTCACTCTGGGGGTTAGGAGGTAACTGGCCTCACAGGTCAGAGGGGGACTCTCCTTTGGGGGTCACTAGAGACTTGGGGGAGGAGTCGGGAGGTGACTGGGCTGTCCTCTGGGGGACACTAGGGATGTGTGGGGAGGGTTGGCAGCTGTCTGGCCCCACAGGTCATGGCAGGCGCTCTGGGGGACACTAGGGATGTGACAGGGGATGAGTTGGGAGGTGACTGGGCTAACAGGTCAGGAAGGCTCTCCTCTGGGGGACACTCAGGGTGGGAGGGTTTGGGAGGAGACTGGGATCATAGGTTGGGGGAGCTCTCCCCTGGGGGAGTTGTCAGGTGACTGGGGACACTAGTGGGGGGTGGGGGGATTGGCAGGTGCCATCTCACAGTTCAGGGGCTCTCTTCTGCAGGGGTTGCAGGTGACTGGACTCATAAGTCAGGGGAACTCTTTTCTAGGGGTTACTAAAGGCAGGTGTTACTGGGAGCCTAGATGAGGGATGCAGGACTCCCCGCTTGTGAATGCATGGGTGACTGAGCCTCTCCAGGAATAGCACTTAGGTGACTCTTTGGAGCTCCCCTGGTTGGTGGGGCTGGTGTCACTTCCCCCTACCCCTACCCTATTACCTATTGTATTCAGTTCCTGCACAGGTGACTGCCAACAGCTGCTTTGCTTCACCTCTTGTTGGGGGTTGATTCCCAAAGTACATTTCCCTGCCTTGTGATCTGGGATATTGCAAAGTGTTACAACAGGACATCTGAAGTCTCCTTCCAACTTACTTAGGCTCTCAATCATTTAGATTCTCCCATTTTTGAGAGCCCAGGGTTGCTATCTGCCTATTTCAGAGTAGCAGCCATGTTAGTCTGTATTCACAAAAAGAAAAGGAGTACTAGGTGCCACTAGTACTCCCTTTTCTATCTGCCTATTTGTGTCAGTCTTAAGGGGACAAAACTGTGTGAACAACATTCCCGTGTTCACATCACTAATTTGCCCAGTGATGTTGGATTTTTGTATCCTAACATGAAGACATGTTGTCATGACATCACATTGCTATATGAAACTTGAGACATATTTGCGAGGTGAGGCAGATCTATGAAGATCAAGGGTAGTGTTGTGAATTTTGGGATGGGCTTCAGCCCTTGTGTGCGTAATCCATATTTGTTGTGGGCCTGATCCTGCAATCTTTATGCCAGTACCCTCATTGAGGTCAGTGAGATTATTTACATGAGTACCACACACACACACACCATTAGGCCCTTGCTTGAACTTGTCTTCTGCTATTAAATATTTCAGATGCAAATATTTGAGCCATGGCAGCAGCTTATTGGTAAAAACTAGTGCTGTGCATTCAGTTGGAAAGAAGTGAATACTTTCTCCTTTGCAATATATTATAAAGCTCTTCACAGTCATGTTATATCACACCTTAAGCCTGTTACTGGTCTGGGTCTGAACTCTTATGAAAAGTCTATGGGATTTTTAATAAATGCAAGTAGTCAGGCCCTCAATTTTACAATATCCACTAGCTCCAGTCTAAGGTATTGGTTCAGTACTGACTTGCAGAGAAATGTTTTGGGGAATTACCAGCACTACTTTCTGTACCACTCTGGGTTTTTCATTGATGTCTCCCATTCAGGAATGAACTTGGCCTGATTTAGCTAAACTTGTGAAATTTGACATATCAAAAGAAGATAAGGCTGTAGGCTATAGACAGTGACAATGGTGCTAGAGGAAAGTGGAAGGGCTATACTGAAATAACTTCTGTCCACAAAACAAACTGATATGTGTCTACACGTAAACACTGACCCTGTAGTTTATATGTGGGTGGACTGCTGCATCTGCACAGAGTGTCATGAAGTCAGTGAAGCTCCATGCATTCAGGACTCTACCTGTGCATTGTAAATTGCAGGATTGAGGCTCAGGCCTGGTCTATGCTAAGGGGTTAGGACGAATTTAGCTACGTTAGGTCGATTTAAAAATGACTGTGTCCACACAATCAACCCCGTTCCGTCAGCCACTAAAGGGCTCTTAAAATCAACTTCTGTACTCCTCCCCAACGAGGGGAGTAGCGCTAAAATCGACCTTGCTGGGTCAAATTTGGGGTAGTGCGGACACAAATCGATGGTATTGGCCTCCAGGAGCTATCCCACAGTGCTCCATTGTGACCGCTTGGGACAGCACTTTGAACTCTGATGCACTAGCCAGGTACACAGGAAAAGCCCTGGGAACTTTTGACTTTCATTTCCTGTTTGGTCAGCATGGCAAACTCAGCAGCACAGGTGACCATGCAGTCCCCCCAGAATTGTAGAGCATAGAATGTTTCTGCGCTCCCCCTATCATCCCCATCCCTGAGATTATTGCAGATTAGAAGGCAAAAAAAACACACTCGCGATGATATGTTTTCCAAGCTCATGCAGTCCTCCCACATTGGTAGGACACAGCTTAATGCGTGGAGACATTCAGTGGCAGAGGCCAGGAAAGAATTAAGTGAGCGCGAAGAGCGGAGGCAGGAGGCGATGCTGAGGCTAATGGGGGAGCAAACGGACAAGATGAAGCATCTGTTGGAGCTCCAGGAAAGCCAACCAGAGCACAGACCCCCGCTGCATCCACTGTACAACTGCCTACCCTCCTCCCCATGTTCCATAGCCTCCTCACCCAGACGCCCAAGAACATGGAGGGAGAGGCTCCGGGCACCCAGCCACTCCACTCCAGAGGATGGCCCAAGCAACAGAAGGCTGTCATTCAAACAGTTTGATTTTTAGTGTGGCTACAATAAGTAATGTGGCCTTGTCCTTCCCTCTTCCCCCACCCCACCCAGGCTACCGTGTCAGTTATCTCATTTTTTTTTTTAATTAATAAAGAAAGAATGCATGGTTTCAAAACAATAGTTACTTTATTTCAAAGGGGAGGGGGACTGGTTTACAGGGAATTAAAATCAACAAAGGGTTGTGCTCTTCTAATCGCCCTAGTGTCTGGCTGCTCAAAATCGAACACCAGGCAATTTGCCTCAACCTCCCACCTTGCCATAAATGTCTTCCCCCTTACTCTCACAGATATTATGGAGCACACAGCAAGCAGCAACAACAATGGGAATGTTGGTTGCGCTGAGATCTGACCTAGTCAGCAAACAGCGCCAGTGAGCTTTTAAACGTCCAAAGGCACATTCTACCACCATTCTGCACTTGCTCAGCCTATAGTTGAACTGCTCCTTACTACTGTCCAGGCTTCATGAGCCATGGGAGCAAGGGATAGGTTGGGGTAGGTGCGACTGCGTGGTCTGAATCTCCATGAGATGAAACTTAAAGAAGAGAATGACCTGGAGTCTCTGGCTCCCATTTGGTGCTCTAAGAGGAGAATAGCCATGTCTGTCCAGGCGCCCCGATTGACCTCCCTGAGGTCTGCCAGGAACACCCAGGAGATGTACGACAGCTATCAATCCTAGTGCATCATCTGCCGCGAAGACAAAGAGTTGTGCTTTATAGCAATGCAGTACCATGTCTGCCAGCAGCACCCAGGAGATGTATGGTGACGGTGAGCTAAGTGGGCTCCATGCTTGCCGTGGTATGGTGTCTACACGGGTAACCCAGGAAAAAAGGCACGAAACGATTTTCTGCCGTTGCTTTCACGGAGGGAGGGACAGAGGGATGGGGGCCTGACGACATGTACCCAAAACCACCTGCAACAATGTTTTTGCCCCATCTGGCATTGGGAGCTTAACCCAGAATTCCAGTGGGTAGTGGAGACTATGGGAACGCTGGGATAGCTACCCACAGTGCACTGCTCTGTAAGTTGATGCTAGCCACGATAGTGAAGATGCACTCCGCCGACTTAATGCACTTAGTGTGGACATACACAATCGACTGTATAAAATCGGTTTCTAAAAATCGACTTCTATAAAAGTGACCTGATTTCGTAGTGTAGACATACCCTCAGTGGTCTTTGCTGTGTTCCCCCTCATTCCTTAAAAAATATAAATTAGCCTTTTTAGACTTTATTTATTGTCTCAGATTTAGCAATCCGATGGTATTTGGTATACTTCTATTATATTGCAAAAATAATTAATTGAAATTAAAATAATATTTATTGGTGTATATTTGTGTAATAATTCAACAGGTACTGTCTTCTGGAAGGCTAACAGGAGCAGCTAAGTTAGCAAGTGGAAAAAAACAGTAAGAATTTAATCATTAATACTGTCTAGTGGTGTACCTGTAAGCATTCAAAACAGCCATACAAATCAAAAGCCAGCAACTCTTTGCGTTTATTAAATGTCAGCAACTCTTTGCATTTATTAAATATTAAGTCCCAACTGAAAGATGCTGCAAGTGGCAGATCCTGCTGTCCTTGGACAGGCAAAACGTCCATTGAAGTTAGTGGGAGTTTGGACTGTACAATAACTAGAGGGAAGATTAACCCCTTTAGCAAACAACATGCCTTAGACTTCCATTTTGCATTTATGAAATATTAATTAAATTTCCCCCCTAGATTACTGAATGAATATGGGGACTAGTTATATGTAAGCTTTCTGAGTAAGGGCCAGTCCTACCCTAACATATGCTGGTAATGTCTGCTGCAGTTACTTGCTTATCTCATTACAGCATTTGGCTCTATTGTAAAGTGCAGCACATTGTGTATGTAGTTTTTTGTTATATATTTATAAGAGGAAGTAAACAGGGAATGTCTTTTTCAGGATTGGCTTAAGAAAAGCATGCAATTCTGATGTGGGCTCTGGCTACTCTCTCTATTCCAGCGACTCTGAGGATCAGGTAATTTGAGATGAATTGGCTCCCTTATACATGCAAATTAGAAATTAACTAAAATTACTGTAACATTAAATTCATTTGATAGAAACACAATACAATCTCTCAAATATAAATATAACAAATCAGTAAAAAAATTTCATTGATGGCATGTAAATAAATATGTGACTCAAACCCAGTCCAGAAATAACTGTGACTCAAACACTTTCCAAATAGGAACTTCTTGACTTTATTTCATTGCCCTTACTGGTTTTGTGTTACAATAAATCAGTGCCTGTATTCTGACTGCAACATTCTTTCTGCAGGTTGTAACTATACATAATGGGCTTGATCGCTGTGCAGCTTTACTGCAGGATATTTTGCAAAATGAGGCCACAGGTTGTACCTTATTGAAATTTTGAATTAAATTTTAGTTCCTGTAGGTCTCTTATTTATTTTGTTGAATGGCTTTTGTTTCAAATAACATTAGGAATGGAGACGGTAAATCGAAAACCAGGGAAAGTAACTTCTGTTAAGGCTACTATCAGGCCTATACTAGCCAAAGGAAATAGTTCAAAAAAGAAAGGACTGAAGAGAAATATTCTTGCTGCCCATATTCATAAAGAAATTGGTAAGCACTTGTCCTTGGTTTGGCCTTTACTTAAACAATGTTTTCATCCATAACTGTTTTATTTCCTCAATAAATACAAATACGTGTTCATTGTTACCTCATCTGCAGAATTAATTAATGTGGTTATAATATTGTGCAATTTATTTTGGTTTTAAACTCTGGTTTAATAAAATAAACTTACTATGGCTTGATTGTTTCTGTCAATTTTAATCAAATTAATCAATCCAAATGGGTTCATAGCATTTGATTCTTGATGTCAAGAATTTTCATGTAAACATTTGTGTTAGTTTTCCTTTAGCACTATACAAACTTCAACTTTATTTTCTATAGTGCCGGTGTCAAATAGGAAAGCAGCCTCTTGTAATACACCTGCTGTTGACAAAGAGGGAGAACTTTCCAGCTCAGTACAAAATCAGCCTATTCAACCAATTCATGTGCCTTTTAATCAACACTCTCCTGTGATGCATCAAAAACTGTGTGAGCATGTGCAAACCCAAATGTCTCTGATAACTGGCCAAGTTCCACCAAGCTGTAATGGAATTCCCACTGTACCTGCTTACCCTGTTTCAGATCCTGGTTAGTATGAATGTTTATCATATAGTTAGACACTATTTTGGGGGTTGTTTTGAGGTTTTTTTGGCAAGAAAAAAAATCTTTAAATTTAACAATATTAGTTTTTGTGTATTTGTTTCAGGATATCAAAGTGTTACAGCATTTAATTATCGTTTACCTACCTCCACACCAAGTCTGTCCCCGCAGCATTCAGCTAATCCTTTACTCATTCAGTCTGTAAGTACACGATTTAAACTATAAATAAACATTTAAGTTAGTGTTGTCATCTTTGTCTTATTCTGTGGCTTTCATTTCTACTGAAATCTATACACTTTCTTGGCCTTAATAGGAAATTTTCCCAAGGAAAAAGAAACTCAGTGCATTTTATGTCTCATAAAATCTGTAATGAAAGTATAGATATGGTGGTGCTTATAATATATTATGTGATGTAAAGGTGATTCACAAATATATTGTTAGCAAGCATTGCTACTTATATTGTGCCTGCAGTAGACTCCAAAAATGAGGTAAGCGGCATGCCAGTGGGGGGACTGTTCACTTCTGTTTGTTATGCTTATGTTTTTTTTATGTTGAATTCTGTGAAGTATCCATTTCCCACCCCTTCCTGAGGAGGACTGATAGTTACTGATCAGTGTAACATCCCAATCTCACTGCACTGATGATTGTGTCATTAACCTAACCTTGAATATTTTAACCTATTAAAAACCACAGTGACTAGAAGTGCTAACGTGATCAGTGGAAAGTAGTGTAAAACCCATTGTTCTCAAATATGGTTTGTGTGTTAAAGCTTTGCATTTTAATATCCTTATCTATTTCAGGGTACAACATTAAAAAACAACAACAAAGCAAACCCCCTCCTGCAGTTTTGGGAAGTGTGGGAAGAGGGTTTACATTGCCCCTATAGTCAGATTGCGGGTGCCACCATTGTTCCATAGCTAGCATGATCTTCAATCAGCACTCTATGGGATATCATCTCATTTGCTAGAAGTTTTGGACTGAGGGAAGTCTGTGCTTCACAGATCGAAAAAAACACTATGTAAAATTAAGTTATTGTTAGAAATATGTTGACTGTCTTCTTATGTTGTTCGTAGCATTCAGCACATACATTTATAGTATATTAGTCAAAATGCCAAAATACAGAAAAATATTGACTTGTACACAATGTGTTTATTTTCCTCTGTGTCTGTGGGTACCAGCAATGAATACTAGTTATAAAGATAGGGAAAGTAAGGAAATATATCAGGAAGATTCTTACAAGCACACTGAAAATGAATTCCCACCCCAAGAAAACAGAATCCTTTTGTCCCTCCCCAATATAAAAAGATGAAAACATCAATTTAGCTCTATTGCTGAATTACAGATAACATTTAAGATCAGACCAACTAGTCTTATTGGTAATCCTAACTATATTTGCCTTTTAACTACTCCTGAACACAGTGAAAGGTCATACACTGCAGCCTGAATGAATTTGAGTACTATTTTAACTGTTTTTTAAATGACAAACAGTGAGCAACACCACATTAAATAAGATTGGCTTCCAAATGTTGAAAGAAACCTCACTACTACATTTAGGTGCCATGAAAATACAAATAATAATAATTTGTTTAATATGTATATTCTCTGTTTAGGGTGTTCCTGCTCACAGTTACAACCAGTGTGCACCACAAGCAGGAGGAACTGTGTTTTTCCCTGGAGTTTCTGTTCCTGCTTCTATTTCTTCACAGGCACGGTCTGTCACCACTGGTCCTCAGATGACACCCTGTGCACCAGTAGCTGTGCCAAATAATTCCACAGCATCTACATTTCTTCCAGCGTTTTATGGCAGCGAGGTGATTTCAAACCAAGGAAATCATGAGCAACGGGTAAAGGAGGCAGACTTGATAAGATGTATACAAGCTCACCTGGCTCTCTTAGAACCACATGAAGCAGAGAGTGACAGAGTTGGTCAGAAGTACCAGAAGTTTGATCCAGCACAGTCCAAGGTCTCAGATACCGAAGAAGAGGAAACCGCTGAGGAACATAGTGAGGGTACTACCAGTGAAGAAGAGGACTTGAATGCAGTTGACATAGCACCAGTGAGGGAGACAAGCTGTCAGACAAGTTTTGACAAAGTTTTAAAGCCTAAAAAAGCAAGCCCAGAAAAAACAGCCCAAAAAGTTAAAACAGTAAAATATCTTTTGGGAGAGCTCAAGGCACTGGCAGACCAAGGTAAAAATGTTTTTATCAGCACAGTAGAATATATATCACACAGGTGCTATGCTACATGAATGGATATTCTTAGAAATCCATAATATACCATTGTGTGATGAATTATTGTAATTCAGATGTTACAAAATTACAATGTGCAATAGTTTTCTTTTTAATAGAGCTGTATGTTTTGATCTGAAGGAAGATAAAGTGAGTGTTTCAATGTGTGTCTGAGATCTTAAAATTGTTATAGCAATTAGTAAAAGTAGTGTTTTCATTCTGTGTATAGTCTGTGGGAAAGCTCTGCTCTTACACTTCCCAGAAGAGGTGATCGGGGAGTGGTGTGGAAAGGTTCTAAAAGATTTCCCTTCAGAGATCAGTTGGAAAGATGGTGGCTGTAATTTAACGGGGATCTAGACCAATGGCTCTCAATCTTTCCATATTACTATACCCCTTTTAGGAGTCTGATTTGTCTTGCATATCCCCAAGTTACACCTCACTTAAAAACTACTTGCTTACTAAATCGGACCTAAAAATACAAAAAAGTGTCACTGCACTATTATGGAAAAATTTCTTACTTTCTCATTTTTACCATATAATAAATAAATCAATTGGGATATAAATACGGTACTTACATTTCAGTGTATAGTATAAAGAGCAATATAAACAAGTCATTGTCTATATGAAATTTTAGTTTGTACTGATTTCACTAGTGCTTTTTATGTAGCCTGTTGTAAAACTAGGCAAATATTTAGATGAGTTGATGTACCCCCTGAAAGACCTCTGTGTACCCCCAAGGGTACATGTACACCTGGTTGAGAACCACTGATCTAGACCATATTTCACAGCCAAATAGTAAATTAAGAAGTGCAAATAAAGAGGGGTAATTTAAACATTAAAAGCTCTACACATCTTAAAAGGTAATAGAATTTATGTTCAGCCATCTCATAAATTGCTTAATTGTGTATATATATGCAGCTGTTTTGTGTTTAATTTTTTTTCTTATAGATGATTCTGAAATATTGAGGCTAATACATGAGGTAGAAGACTGTGTTTCATTACTGCCAGCAGTAGTTGGAAGTACCAATGTACAAGCTGAAATAGCACTTGCTATACAACCTCTTAGAAGTGAAAATGCCCAATTGCGTAGGTCAGTAAACATTCAACAAGTGAGCAACGTATTTCAAAAATACGTATGGTGTTAGCTAACTTCATTGTTATAAATTGCATGTTGTAGTATAGTTACAATGTATTATTCTTAGATCACATTCTTGTTTTCTGTTGTCTATATTGTATTCACATGCAGGGGTTTTGTTTATACTATGCTTTGTATGGTATATTGCTTCTGAAAAAAATCTTTAAGGTATTCATATTTAGTGCATGGATATTTAAACAAGCTTCTTGCTACCGATGAATAGGAATGTTTTACTTCTTCCATCAGTTTTCCTAACTGAATGATGGTCTCTTGTTGAAATGCAGCACTGAGTCAGGTGGTCTATCTCTTCCATGGACTTGCTCTGTGACTTTAGGTAAATCACTTAACCTAACTGTATTGAGTGCATTAGTCTGCCCCAGAGAGGTATAAATTCTAATTCGCACAGGATGGCATGCACTAGAAGTTCCCTAGTGTGTGTTAATGTAGGACTGTTTGAAACAGCAGTTTCACCTATTTGTAAAATAAAATATTAGCCTAGAGAAGAACTGTAAAGTTGAATCCACTGTTCATAAAGTGCTTTGCAATTTTCAGCTGAGAAGTGCAATACAATTGCAAAATTGAATGAAAAGTTGACATTTCAAATTAGAACTCAAATAAAGCATTTTGACTGCAGGCAACAGATTTCACAATGTTTAATATAGATAGGACAGATGTTCTCGGTGTTACCTTTGAAATTATTGTGCTTAGAGCTCCAGTAGAAGGGATGGAATTTTGAAACCGGAAATATCAATTGTGTGAGAAGTCCTTTGGAAAAGGTGAGCGTGCATCTGTCTAGGAGCAGCAGACTACAAATAGGTTTGGCAGCATTCAGTTTTAATTGATGTGTCAGTAAACATTGATTTCAGCTGACATGCTGAAACTGACACACACAAAAATTGATCAGTAACAGTGTAGGAGGTTCCCCCACCACTCCCCCTCCCCCCCAACTCCATTTTGCACCTGCAGAGATTAGGTGTCACCGGCCCTGTAACAGGTCAGAGAGCTCTCTGCAGCCCTGCTATCACGGCCAGATTCCCTCATTCCATGACAGCAGAGCTGCACAGCGATCCCTGTGCTGCTGCAGAGCAGGTGACATCCAATTCCTGCAGGTACAAAGAAGGCTGTGGTCCTGGTTGAGCAGAGACCTCCAGCCAGGACTGCAAGGAATAGGAGGAGGATGAGCACCTGGCTGCAGGAGAGACCACCTGCTGCTGAATGGCTCTTTCCCTGGGCAGGAACCATTCAGTGGTGGGGTGGCCTCCCCGGCATCCAGGGCTCATCTTCCTCCTTGTGGCCCTGGCCGGGGGGTCTCCGTTCTGCCCAGCTAGGACTACAAGCCTTCCCCACACTTATGCCTGCCAGGGATCAGGTGTCTGCAGCTCTACTGTCATCGACCCACTCACCAGCTGGCAGTGTCAGAGGTCTGACAGTGGGGTTGCAGAGGGTTCTCTTCACAGCCATGGGGCCACTGCTGCCCAATCCCTGCAGATATAAGGTGCAGGGAACGCTGCAGTCCTGACGAGGCAGAATAGAGACCTCTGGCCAGGGCTGCGAGAAGCTGCAGGGAAGGCCTCCCTGCTGCTGAATGACTCCAGGCTGGGGATAGAGCCATTCAGCAGCAGTGTGGCCTCCCCCCTGTGACCAGGGCTTGTCTTACTTCTGGTAGTCTTGGTCAGGGATCTCTGCTGAACTAGGAGTGTAGTCTCCCATGTACCTTGCATCCAGTTGTTTTGGACTGCTCAGCTGTGCAGGGAGTCCTCTGCAGCCCTACTGTCAGTGCTGCCCCAACCCCACCCTTAATCCTCCTTAATTTCCAGTAAAAATACACTAAAAATCCTTAAAAATAAAATATTGATATTAACTATCAAGATTAGAAAAAAATAAAAACTGAGTTTTGCCAAGTCTAACTATAAAAGTTCTGTTACATGTTTTTGTCTATATGTGAAAGCATAGTGACTGTAATTTAGCCTATCTCTGGAGAATCCAGGAGGAATATAACTTTTAAATATCCTCTTTGTTGAACAATTGCTGCTTGTTCTTAGACATTAGTGCAGGGGAGGGCAAACTATGGCCCGTGGGCTGGATCCGGCCCATCCAAGCTTTCAATCTGGCCTGCGGGATTGCCAGCCCTGTGGCGTAGCAGGGCTAAGGCAGGCTCCCTGCCTGCCCTGGCCTTGCGCCGCTCCCAGAAGTGGCCGGCACCATGTCCCTGCGGCCCCTGGGGGAGGGAGGAGCGGTGTGCTACATGCACTGCCCTTGCCTGCAGGCACCGCCCCCCGCAGCTCCCATTGGCAGGGAATGGGGAACTGCGGCAAATGGGAGCTTCGGGGATGGTACCCGCAGGTGAGGGCAGTGTGCGCTGGAGCTGCCTGCCCCACCCCACCCCCAGGAGCTGCTGCTGGACATGCTGGCCACTTCCAGGAGTGGCGCAGGGCCAAGACAGGCAGGGAGCCTGCTTTAACCCTGCTGCATGCCACTGCCACCCCAGAGCCACACGAGGTAAGCAGCACCGGACTGGAGCCCGCACCCCAAACCCCTCCTGTAGTTTATCTTATTAACTGATCTCTAACCGTAACAGCATAACAAGGGTCTAGAGAATGCTTTCCCAAAGTATGCAGAAAAGCATTTTGAGAACTAGGAGGGAGTATTATTTTCTGTGTGTATTTTTCCATTTGAAACCTATTGCCATCTTTTCTCAGGACTGACCTTTTTCCTAGAAGTACCAGTGAGTTCTCTAACTTTTAAACTGCAGGTCCTAAGTAGTTAGCATGCATATGTCTTTAGACAGTCTGTTCTCAAATGCAGAAAGAATCTCTTTTCAGGATACATGCTTAATGTAAAAGTAGACACCCCTTTCCTCTGAGCTAAAATGGAGCAAAGTTACCATGATTTTTGAAAAGAGCTCATTCAGCTAAAGAAAGGTGGAAATGCAAACTTTGACAAAATAGATTTTAAAAAAATTTTTTTAATACTTCCAAAATTAAAAACATTTTTGTTACGGTTCTATTCTAATTAAATTAGCAAACTTTCATATACAAACCAATTTCGATATTCAACCTTTTGAACTTACTCTGTATTTGGACTTTCTCCATTTATGCTTTATCATTCACATTTAGGAGATTAAGAATATTGAACCAGCAACTCCGGGAGCGAGAGAGAGCTGAAAAGGAATCCAGCCTGGATTGCAACTTTGAATGCAAGTGTATATTGCAAGTGATGGTGTGGGAAATGGGGGTAAAGATTTTAGCTCCACTGAACTCAGTAGAGCACCACGCAGACAGTGGGATCCTCCTGAGCAGCTCCAGTATAGGATTTGGAACTGTATCCTTACTATAATAAGGATGAGACACCAGACAACTGATGGGTATAAAGCAAACCTCCTTGTATCTTGCAAAGGTTCCTACTTTTATCTGCAAACAAAGGTCACATTATAACAGAGTTTTTGAACTACATAACTCAGTGCATAAGGCATCTGATATTAGGGTCTGACTTTAAAGTAGAAGGGCAGTTTTCCTCTATCTTCCTTTGAGAGAACTGGGCAAAAAACCCACAGCACATCATTACATGACAATTACAGCTTATCTGCTGTGAATTAATGTGACAGTGGGTAACGTTACCATGACACCCATCTAAAAATATTTTACTAAGCCGTGGGGAAAGAAGGGAAGGCAATACCGCTTTGCAAAATTATACGTGCAAGTTCAGTACTGTACTCAAAGTACAAGTACAGAATTAAATAACTAATTTAATTGCAGGTTTCAGAGGAACAGCCGTGTTAGTCTGTATTCGCAAAAAGAAAAGGAGTACTTGTGGCACCTTAGAGACTAACCAATTTATTTGAGCATGAGCTTTCGTGAGCTACAGCTCACTCAAATAAATTGGTTAGTCTCTAAGGTGCCACAAGTACTCCTTTTCTTTTTAATTTAATTGCATGTTTTAAATATAGAAAACTGCACTCCACATTCTATCACTGTGATAATGGGGACTATTATCCGCACAGGCTTGAAGTTTTAGGCCCTAGTCTTGTAGTGAGCTGTGTACAAGTGTATTGAAGTCTCTCCGGCTCTGAATGGATGTACTCATGCTCATGTCACTGCAGGATCAGGGCCTTAGATATCACTGAGCAATACCAAGTCTTGTGGTCACGTTTTAAAGAGAAAATTAATCCTTAAATATTTTATTGTAGGTAGCTCATCATAGGATATGAGACAACATTTTTTATTTTGATGAAAATAGTGTTGCGTTATCTTGGTGGTACGTGCAAATACATCAGTTACAATGTTCTTTATATCTTGTCATTCCAGTACAGGATAATAGGATTTAAAGATTTAGCACTAATAAAAATGTTTCCAAATACACCACTTAAAAACATGTAAAATCTCTACTGGTAGCTGAAAATTCCTTCTCTACAGTTTTGATTTATGCTTATATTCACACACAACTTCTGACTGTAACATAATATTGTAATCTGTTGTTCTTAATTTCTAAGAATTTGAATGATGATTTCGGCTTTAATAGTTACAAATTACATTTCTTTTGGGCATAGAAATGAAACATTTAAAAAAACTTGCTATGTTTCTCTTCCTATAGTAATTTCACTACAATCCCTGAATACGACACTCCAGAGTCAACTCAAGGAATCTTTAAAGGGCCTTGAATCACTGCACAATAAAAATGAAGAACTGCTTAAAATAATCGAAAACCAGAAAGAAGAAAATAAACAGTTTGCAAAAGTTATCCAGGAGAAAGATAAAGAACTGCTTGAAAACAAACAGCAGTATGACATTGAAGCTACAAAGCTGAAAATTGGTGCGTGTTTTGAACTGACTTGATTTTTTCACTTGGTGCTTTTACATTTAAAAAAAGACTAAATAAAATTGTACTTGGCATTTTAGAAGTGGATGAGGCACTGGCAAATGTGAAGAGCTTCCAGTTTAAGTTGGAAGCCTCGGAAAAAGAAAATCAGATCTTGGGCATAACATTACGTCAACGTGATGCAGAAGTAAACAGACTGCGTGAATTGACTCGGTAATATTGGTCACACAGTTTTTCTTCTTGACATTTCTTCCTTATGTTAAAATAATACTGACAGGTTTCAGAGTAACAGCCGTGTTAGTCTAGCTGTAGCTCACGCTCAAATAAATTGGTTAGTCTCTAAGGTGCCACAAGTACTCCTTTTCTTTTTGAAAATAATACTGCAGTCTCTCCCTACGTTGTCTTTGTGTTAACTTTGTGTTAAGGTCTAGTCCTAAAGATCTTATAGCCTATCTATGAGTCTTGCAATTTATTTACTCTTTCTAGAGCCTAGAAACCCCAATCAGGGAGCAGGGCTATACTGATGCTGTACAATCAGATAAAAAGACGTAGTACCTCCTCCAGACAGCTTACACTAAAGGGGTCAGAAAGTAAACAGGTAGACAAGATAAACATGTGGGGTGGGTTGTGTCAGATGATGGAACAATAAAACTAATAGTTTAGCATAAAAGCAGAAGTTTTGGCTTCCCCTTTTCTAACTTATGCAATAGTTAGAAATAACTATCATGTCAGGTAGGTCAAATGCCACATGCTGTATTCATGGGAGAAGGCAATGACTTTGTTTGTCTCTCTAGTCGCGGCTACCCAGGTGATCCTTCCCTAGGACCTGCAGCGTTTGGGAACTAGTTCTGCAGCCTGTTTGAAGGGGAGGCAGTCTCCCTTTTCTTTGTGAAAAGACCTGGAATAAATCTTCCTGAGAAGAACCTTGCAGATACTCTCCCTTGTGGGCCCACAATTAGTTTTCCTGTGGGAAGAAACGATCTCTCTCTGTTAAAGACACACTTAAAATGAAATTTATGACTAGATTTCCTTCATTTTTGAGAGCTTTAGATCCTGAGTGAAGCTGCCTTAATCACATTTATTTGTGAAGTTATTTTATGGGTTTTTTTTATGAGTTCATGGTGGCAAGGTTTAGAGCTTCACAATCTTTTGTACACCTATATTGTGTGGTTCTGATAATAGATCTCTTTAGTTACTTGACTTGTTTTGGATTATTTATATTTTACTGATGTGCACTAGGAGTTTTACTATTCAGTTGGGTTATCCAAAATTCAAATTTTACCAGCCCCCATAATAGTGTACAGTATTTTCCTTACAGTGTATATACACCTTACATATTTTCCTGTAGCTATACTAACTGCTGACCACCAGATGGTGATAGCCATATGTACATGTAATGAGCTGAGTCTTCATTTGTCTTGGCATAGAAAGCAGAAAATGAGTAACTGTGATTGCCCTTGTCTATTTCTGTATTTAAATATTTACTTAAGCATTGTATACAATTTAAAGGAAGCATTTTTTCCAAATTGCTTTCAAAAGCAGACCTCCATATCTTAACACAGACTTTGAAAATCATAGAATCGTAGGACTTGAAGGGACCTCGAGGTCATTTAGTTCAATCCCCTGCACTTATGGCAGGACTAAGAATTATCTAGACCAAAATCAGTTATACTGTGTCCTCCAGTTACTTTATAAATGTTAAAGTTCTCTTGTCTTAAAGTCATTTAATCTTCTCTTCATAAGGGCACATAAGTGAGAAAGAACCTCATTGCTTGCTATTAATTTCAAAGGTACATTTCATTGAATTGAAGAATGACACTCAATAGAACTTGAGTAGTTTAAAATTTGTATTGATTTTTTTGTGCTGTCTTGTGGAATATGAATTAGGTTTTTAAAATGATCATTGCAATCTTAAATTGATAAGTATATCTAAATATTAAATTTTAAATATGGTTTATGAAAAGTCATGATACATAGTGGATGACCTAATGAATTGCTCTTAACAGAACCTTGCAGAGCAGCATGGCCAAGCTTCTCTCTGACCTCACTGTAGACCATGTTAGACACAGACCTGAAAAAGGTCTTACAAAATCTCTTCTGGAAGACTATGAGAAACAGCTGAAACCCAACCCATTCCCTGTGAGTACTTCCATAATGAGTTACCTCAAAAAATTAGAAAGTGATCAAATTTTGACAAATACAGAACTTCAATTTTCAAATAAAACTGGAGAATTGGAAATGCCAGGTCTAGCCTGTGAAAAGTTTGTTGCTGAAGGATCTTATAAAAAAAGTACACTCTTAGCAGAGGAAATAACTGCTCAAAGAATTCTTCCTACTCTGTCAAAGCAAGATACAGAAACAATTAGTGATTCTGGGACTTTAACAAAGGAAGAACACAAACTGGATGAGACCATTTATATTCCATTGACTAGCAGTGTCTCTAAAAAACAGCCATTGATATCTGAAAGAAAAATGTGTGCACAACACCAGGTCAGCGTGGCTTCCAAGAATTTGAACTATAACTGTGGGCTCTCTGATTCTCAGAAGCAGAATGGATTTGGGATGTTGGATGATAAAAAGATTTTTGATAAAGTCAATGGGGGCTACGACTTGAGAAAGACAATAGAAAATACATCTGAAACCACAGGGAAGACGACTGAGCTGGAAGGAGACAAGCTCCTAGTAAGGCCAAAAGAAATAATTAGAACTGCTAAAGATTTTACAGACAAATCAGCTAAACCTCAGTCTGATAAATACCTTTACACTTGCATGCCACATCAAAAGGAGAATTTTCAGAAAAAAGGCACTGAAATGTCTGACTCTAGTTTCTGTACTTTTGACTGCATGTCAGGAAAATCTGAATGGAGCATGTCTTCCTTCTCAACATTTACTTCACGAGATGAAGAGGACTTTAAAAATGGGCTAGCAGCCTTGGATGCCAACATAGCTAGATTACAAAGGACTTTGCAGACTGGCATTATGAAACAGTGAATGAGGAAACTAAAGACTGTATTTTGTTCAGATAATTGTTAGGTGGGTTTTTTTAGTAATTTAATATGGTGTATTGTTTTTAGAATGTCAATATTTGTATTGTCTTTTTGTATAAAATGGCTGGTTCCTAGCAGTTAAATTATGACTGGAATTTATTTTCTTAGTTAATGAATTAAGGTGCTATTTCCCTTGTGAAAACTACCATAATTAGTGCAAGGGAAGAGTTTATTTAAAATTCCTAAATGCAGACATTAAAATTAAGTTTTATACTGTAGGCAATAAAACCTTTTTCTATTAAATGGTGGATGAAATATTCATTTGATTTCAATATACTTTTCAAAGTAGTAAGTAGTTTATATTCAGATAAAATCTAATATCTCATTAAGTCATTAAGATGACATGAGTCAGAAAGTGACCTCCCTGGCTTTTGTGAGAAATAGTCACAACTTGAACTTTATTTTTAAAAATGAATAGTATATTCAGTGTTACATGCTAGTGACCAAATCCAGTCAAGTGGAAAGTTAGTAGGAAGAACATCCCATCTCAATATAAAGCATAACTTTGATCAGCACAGAATGTACTTTATGCCATTCTCTTCATACAGTAGATTTTTGTGGCTAAACATAGACCAAATGCTACTCTGCTGTAGCAGCATAAATGCTGGAATAACTCAGAGCAGAATTGTTCCAGAATCTTCATTAGATAACTACAGATGCTTGCTGAATACCTGCCCCTGGGTTTTGCAGAAATCATCATATCAGGACTACAATGATCATTTTAAAATTAATCCATGTCACTTAGAACAAGTTTTTAGACTAGCAGTAAACTTTCAGCCTTCATGATATCTGAAATATATTGTTCCTGTACTACTTAGTTTGCTTGGTCATATTTGTGGTTTACAGAAGTACAAGACATGTTTTGGGTATGTATGGAAACAAATGAGTTAATACAAGGATTTCTACCAAAAAACACAAAATCTACATGTTTTATATTAGTATAAACAGAGTTATCCCTTAACTATTGATATGATAAATTGCAGCTTAATTACTGTGGCTGACAAGCATGAAGTTGCTCATCGACTGTTGAAGATATTCTCTGATGTGGAATATTGGCTGATCAATAATAGTAGGCAAAACCTATCAGAGAGGCTGGGGTATTCTTTGATTGGATTATAGTATCAAGTTTCACCAGCAATTAACATCAACACTAACATAGCAAAAAGGAAAAACAATAACTGTGTAAGCTATGTGGGCAGTTCAGATGAGGGTACAATCAGTTCCTCACTTAAGATAAAGTAATTGATCAAGCATTAACATTTACAGCAGGATGGTAAAAGTTTGTAAGAATAAATACAAGTAATTGTGACTCATTCATTGCAACTGCATGGTTTCTACAGTAGTTTGTTGCTAAAAGCAGGGACGGAGGGTGGGAGAAAGTTGAGCTGAAAATTGATGTAATCCTGGTATCAAATAACGATGCCTCAGTCTACAGTTAGTGCAAATAGCCTACCCCAGAACTGTCTTAAAAAGGAGTACTAAAACAATATCCTTGTTCAGTAGTAATAAGCTACAATGGTGCAAATACTGCCTGCTTCCTTTTCCCTAACCATTAAGAAATAGACTCATCCATATCACAACCTGCTGAAAGTTGCAAATGATGTAACTGTATATTTTGCTGAAAGAATATTTTCCACTGTAGATCAGAAATCAAATGCAGATACGACTTGCTTAGTTCCACAAATAACTAAAGCAGTGACTTAATCAGCATGTTTATTACTGTTACTATAATATAAAATGTATTACTGGTTAATGTACAGTAAGGCTGTGATGAATGGTCAGGATCACTTTCTTTTTTGAGGACTGGAGAAAACCAAATGCAATAACTATTTTCTTACTACCTCCCTATAGCTCTGACTTCTCAAAAATAAGTCAGTGGTGCAGTAAGTTTGTTGGCTAAAAGCCTCTTAGTAGGCTACATCAACCACCATTGTTTGGTTGTATCAATTTTAGTTTTCCCAGTGTCTCCTTAAATATTTCTAGTAGGACTTTCTGAAGACACTTTTAGTCATCATTATGGAGAGGGAGATCCTGAGGTGGCATGTGAGGTATATAAGACATATCAATTTTGAAGGTTAGAATAATGAATCATGTTGACTAACAGGTTTGACAGCAGCTTCACACATTGAGTGGAAGACAGCAGTCTGCATTCACCCCTGAAACTGTCATGGTGGTTGTCTCTCCACACTGTGGGAAGATAACAGAAAAATCAAGCTTTTTCTGTCTGAACACATATTGTTCGAGTAGCATAGCATAAGTGATTGGACACAGATTTGCTAGTCTCTTTACAGCAGTTTGGAGAATGGCACTGACTAAGATGTAAAGAAGGCAATGAAGAACCGTGTAAATTCATAGGTGGTATAGAGTGTCTTTTACATCTGAACTTAAATCTAGGACTTCTGCCTCACTCAGAGATGGGGAATGGTGTGCTCTCTGACTACATAAAATGGAGGGATAATTCTAACCCTCATCTTTAGATTGTACATGGTGAAAAACAGATAATTTTGATAGGATTAGGGTGAGGGCTCGCTAATCTCTGACTGTCCCTTTGACATTACATAACTTGAAAATTAGGGCTGTCAATTAATCACAGTTAATTCACACAACTCAAAAGTAATTGTGCTTAATCAGTTCTAATTGCACTGTTAATAGAATACCAACTGAAATGTATTAAATTTTGCTACATTTTCAAAAATATTGATTTAAATTAACACAGAATAAAGTGTACAGTGCTCACTTTATATTATAATAAATATTTGCACTGTAAAAATGGTAAATATTTTTCAATTAATTTCATACAAGTACCATAGTACAATCTCTTTATCGTAGAAGATTAGGGGTGGAAGAGACCTCACGAGGTCATTTAGTCCAAGCCTCTGCTCAAAGCAGGACCAGTCGCAACTAAATCATTCCAGCCAGGCCTTAAAAACCTCTAAGGATAGAGATTCCACCACGTCCCTCGGTAACCCATTCCAGTGTTTCACCACCCTCCTCGTGAAATAGTTGTTCCTAATATCCAACCTTGCCCTCCGTCCCCCACTGCAACTTGAGACCACTGCTCCTTGTTCTATCATCTGCCACCATTGAGAACAGCCTAGCTCCACCCTCTTTGGAACTCCCCCTTCAGGTAGATGAACGCTGCTATCAAATCCTCCCTCACTCTTCTCTTCTGCAGACTAAACAAGCCCAGTTCCCTCAGCCTCTCCTCATAAGTCATATGTCCCAGCTCCCTAATCATTTTTGTTGCTCTCCGCTGGACTCTTTCCACTTTGTCTACATCCTCTGTGTAGTGAGGGGCCCAAAACTGGACACTGTACTCCAAGATGTAGCCTCACTGGTGCCGAATAGAGAATAATCACTTCCCTCTATCTGCTGGCAATGCTCCTATTAATGCAGCCCAATGTACTGTTAATCTTCTTGGCAACAAGGGCACACTTACCTCATATCCAGCTTCTCGCCCACTGTAATTCCCAGGTCCTTTTCTGCAGAACAGCTGCTTAGCCAGTCGGTCCCCAGCTTGTAGCAGTGCATTCTTCCATCCTAAGTGCAGGATTCTGCACTTGTCCTTGTTAAACCTCATCAGATTTCTTTTGCCCAATCCTCCAATTTGTCTAGGTCACTCTGGACCCTATCCCTACCCTCCAGCATATCTACCTCTTCCCCCCAGCTTAGTGTTATCTGTGAACCTGCTGAGGGTGCAGTCCATCCCATCATACAGATCATTAATGAAGATCTGGAACAAAACCAGCCCCAGGACAGACCCCTGGAGCACTCCGCTTGATACTGGCTGCCAACTAGACATCGAGCCATTGATCACTACCCATTCAGCCTGACGATCTAGCCAGATTTCTATCTGCCTTATAGTCCATTCATCCAGTCCATACTTTAACTTGCTGGCAAGAATACTGTGGGAGACCGTATCCAAAGCTTTGCTAAAGTCAAGGTATATCAGGTCCACTGCTTTCCCCATATCCATAGAGCCAGTTATCTCATCATAGAAGGCAATCAGGTTGGTCAGGCATGACTTGCCCTTGGTGAATCCATGTTGACTGTTCCTGATCACCTTTGTCTCCAAGTGCTTCAAAATGGATTCCTTAAGGACCATCCTACTCCATGATTTTTCCAGGGACTGAGGTGAGGCTGACCTGTCTGTAGTTCCCCGCATTCTCCTTCTTCCCTTTTTTAAAGATGGACACTATATTTGCCTTTTTCCAATCGTCCGGGACCTCCCCTGATCACCACCAGTTTTCAAAGATAATGGCCACTGGCTCTGCAATCATATCAGCCAACTCCCTCAGCACCCTCGGATGCATTAGATCTGGCCTCATGGACTTGTGCATGTCCAGCTTTTCTAAATAGTCCTTAACCTGTTCTTTCACCACTGAGGGCTGCTCACCTCCTCCCCATACTGTGCTGCCCAGTGCAGCAGTCTAGGAGCTGACCTTATCTGTGAAGACCGAGGCAAAAAAAGCATTGAGTACTTAATCTTTTTCCAAATTGGTCACAAGGTTGCCTCCCCCATTCAGTAAGGGTCCCATACTTTCCCTGACCTTTTAGTTGCTTACATTCCTGTAAAACCCCTTCATGTTACCCTTCACATCCCTTGCAAGCTGCAATTCCCAATTGTGCTTTGGCCTTCCTGATTACACCCCTGCATGCTTGAGCAATATTTTTATACTCTTCCCTATTCATCTGTTCAAGTTTCCATTTTTTTTAAGCTTCCTTTTTGTATTTAAGCTCACCAAAGATTTCTCTGTTAAGCCAAGCTGGTCACTTGCTATTTTTGCTATTCTTTCTACATGCACATCAGGATGGTTTGTTCCTGTGCCCTCAATAAGGCTTCTTTAAAACACAGCCAGCTCTCCTGGACTCCTTTCCCCCCATCATATTACCTTCCAGGGGATCCTGCCCATCAGTTCCCTGAGGGAGTCAAAGTCTGCTTTTCTGAAGTCCAAGATCCGTATTCTGCTGCTCTCCTTTCTCTCTTTTGTCAGGTGGCTGAAGCATGAAGGGACATATGAATCTTTAACGCTTCTGGCACATAAATATCTTGCAACGCCGGCTACAACAATGCCACACAAACACCTGTTCTCACTTTCAGGTAACATTGTAAACAAGAAGCAGGCAGCATTATCGCCTGCAAATGTAAACAAACTTTTTTGTCTGAATGACTGGCTGAACAAAGAGCAGGACTGAGTGGACTTGTAGACTCTGAAGTTTTACAGTGTTTTATTTTTGAGTACAGTTATTTTTTTGTATATAATTCTACCTTTAAGTTCAACTTTTATGATAGAGAGATTGCATTACAGTACTTGTATGACATGAACTGAAAATGCTGTTTTTTACAGCACAAATATTTGTAATAAAAACTAAAGTGTACAGTGCTCACTTTATAGTTGTTTTAATTAAAGTCTATATTCTAAAATGTAGAAATAAAAAAAATAAATCATTCTATTGTTTTACAGTGCAATTAATCACAATTTTTTAATCACTTGCCAGCCGTAGTGAAAATTAAAGTTTACGTAAAGGATGAGCACATTATTGATCAGTTTGGTTCTTGTGCTCAAAGACACCACACTATGGTGCATTAAAAATTCATCAAAAAAAACAAATCCATTGCAAACAAATGGACCATGTAAGTACACTGTGGGCTGCTGCAGAGGCTGCATGGAAAAGTCTTCCATACAGCTTAGCTGCCTGCATAGGTAATGGAATAGTGTTCTGGGGCTTTCTAATCATGATTACAGAAGGCTATATCCCTTTTCAATAAGCTTGCACAGCCACATGATTTCTATGCAGAAATTATATAAACAAAGTAGTTTATTTATAGGTATTTTGCTTTCTTCCCTCCTCCAGAACATGGAATGATGGGTGAAGCATCTGAATTAGCATTGGAGGGCCTTGTGCAAGGTAGATTAAGATCCTTTTAAGAAATAGTTCATAGCTTCCTACCACCTGCATTCCACAAGGAGGCCATGCTCAATTCCTTACCACTAGCTCTTGCTTATGGTTAGGAATTATTTATTTGAGCTCCTTGCTTTAAGAAGTCGGATATTCTACATTTGGTCTACAGAATGCAGCCATATTAGAAAGTCTGCAAATGTTGCATCAGTGCCACAATTAAAAACATTGCTCTGCTTGTGTTATCTCCCTTTCCCATCTTGACTATTTAAGTAAGCTCTTCACAACACAAAGGGTCAGACAGTGTAGAAGGCCTAGTCTGATTAGGTCCTGATCTCTAGTAGGGGCTCTTGACATTACTCTGTCTTTTCAAAGGTGTGTCTAGTTTTCTAGGAGCTGGTATGTTTGCTGTTTGTTGCTGCTCTCACCTGACTACAGATAATGCCTTCCAAAACTACTTCTTTTCTAGGTATGATTTAGACAAGTGAGTGATAGTTTGACATGGTCTCTACATTGGGGAAAAAAATAGTCAAAAGTGAGGTTAACAGTCAAAATTCACACCCAGTTTCAACTTTGAAGAGATTCTATAAGATTATGAAAAGGCACATTCCACAATTGGGACGTTTGTTAAGTTATGCTACCTAGCAGTTTTATAGAAATGTGATTATTTAAGTTATTGCAACAGATTGGTAATTAAGGCATGAGATGGCAGAAAGTGACTGTAAGGAATGCCAATTGGCATTCCTACTTAAGAAAAATGAAGTTAGACTAAATAGTGACTTCAGTGATTCAGAATGCTTTTAAGACTTGGCCTGGCCTTCTTATTCCTTCAAGACATTGTTCATACTCAGATTTCAAAGTCAGGCTGATGACAGAAGATAAGGCCCAAGAAATTCTATTTATAAGCAGTTTAACTGTGCAGTTCATAAGCAAAGTGGCATTGGAAGTTTGGGAACTGTTGAAGATATAAAACAAAAATTTAGGACTTTCCTCCTACTGAGTTGGTGTGGGAGGGGAAGAGGGATAGCTCAGTGGTTTGGGCATTGGTCTGCTACACCCAGGGTTGTGAGCTCAATCCTTGAGGGCGCCATTTAGGGATCTGGGGCAAAAATTGGGGATTAGTCTTGCTTTGAGCAGGGGGTTGGACTAGACCTCCTGGGGTCCCTCCCAACCCTGATCTTCTATGACTTACTAGAGTACATATACATGCTCATACCAGAAGTCAGGAACCTCCAATATGCCAGGTTTTATAAAGGTTGAATGGCTTAATACATTTTTGTAAAATGGGTGGCTGGAAAGTGAATTTCCCCCCAAAATGTCCTGTTACCACTTTGCAAACAGGTGATAAAACATGCTGCGATTCACTGGGTGGGGGTTTCTAGATTGTCATAGGATACTGTAAGTAAACAATCAAACTATGTTAATACTTTTATTTTGTCCATAGAAGGCAGACGAATCAATTTGATATCCTAATTCAAGAGATTTTTCCCAAGGCAGATGTAGCATTTCTGAAGGGAGACAATGGTAGCTGTGGATTGCAGAGAGAAGCTATGAACTTTGAGGGCACCACTGTTCATTGTTATATGCAGAGGAGGAGAGTTGATTATGTGATGTAGTACTATTAGACAAGTCATATGCAGTTAAATTTAATCCCCTCCTTCACATGCAGTAGTATATGGCAAGACTATCACTGCAGCAATCCTCAGGGAAAGGTTTTGGTTTGTTTTTTGTGTGTGCACACGCAAAAGCGTGCACAGGCCTCCTACAACCAAACCAACAATAAAAATTTCTTTCCTCACAGTCTGTTTTGGACAGCTAGTATAACTTAAGTAAAAGAAATTGAAATAGCCCTCAGCTAGGCATGTTTTTTTTTACTAGTATTGCTATAATCCCAACAAGTTTTTCCTGAACAAGACAGTTAATTTTCCACCCTTTCATTCTAACTTTGTAAAGGCAATTGAACCTTGAGCTTCTACAGTTGATATCTACCACCTCCTACCATGAAAGCTAGCTGTGTAACAGATATCCATCGCATCTCATGAAGACAGGTAATTCTTTTAATTGTTCAATTTATGCAACATAGCCTTTTAAGCATAGTCGGATCAAAAGACAAGTAAGGAAACTCATAAAATTCATATATTAAGTTGCACAATCATTCTGAAGGCTCACAAGTTCACATAATCTTCATTAAGTAGTCTCAGTAGCATGTAGCTAAATAAGATCCCAAGTAACTGAGGGGGAAGAAAAGGGTAGAGATAAGAAATTAAGCTTAACCTTGCTAGTGTTTAAAAGTAGTTTTTAAACAATTTACCCATACATTTTAATGGACCCATTGTTGGGAGAATACCATTTCACTGCAGATGGGATCCACTAATACTACTAGACCTAAAAATTCCTTTTTTGCCACGGCACTGATGCTTAGAACATTTGTGTAGATTTAACATAGAATCATAGAAGATTAGGGTTGGAAGAGACCTCAGGAGGTCATCTAGTCCAACCCCCTGCTCAAAGCAGGACCAACACCAACTAAATCAAAGTTGTCTAGTGCACTGCTGCCATTCACACGTTAGTCAAAATATGACCAGTGCTTTCTCAGTCCATAGCTCAGTCAGTCATCACAAAGCAAGGGTGTAGTGGACCAAGTTTAAAGAGACTTGCTTCTTTCACAGGGTTAAATCATTTACTATCCAGTAACTTATGTGCTAATTTAAATCTGTTTAGTTTATTCTGCCTCAGTATTTCAGGTATTGAGCCTTGTACTTCTTCCCATGTTTCGTTTGCATGAGGACCACCACCTGCAGTTTGAAGACAAGACAGGCACTACACAATGTTTACCTGTGCAAATCCAACACTTATGCAAACCCCTCCAATAAGAGCAATATGTTCTTCAGCCCACTTCTTCAGCTTTTGAATGCATCCCTGGAGGGAGGGGGGAAGAATGTTTGCTAATTACTGCATCTGGCATGTACATTGGAATCCAGTACCCATAAGAGTAGAAAGTGAACTGCATATAAATATGGTACCCCTTTTAGAAAGATCTATTACAATGGGTACAGCAGTCCAATTGTACCATCCATAAAAGAGATAATCCAAACTTTGTTGCAACTGTAACTGATCAAGTTTTATTAAAGATATTTATCAAAGAAAAGATGGCTTGCAAGAGACAAAAAATTGACAGTAATTAATAAGGCTACAATTTCAAATATAGAATCATAGAATATCAGGGTTGGAAGGGACCCCAGAAGGTCATCTAGTCCAACCCCCTGCTCGAAGCAGGACCAATTCCCAGTTAAATCATCCCAGCCAGGACTTTGTCAAGCCTGACCTTAAAAACCTCTAAGGAAGGAGATTCTACCACCTCCCTAGGTAACGCATTCTAGTATTTCACCACCCTCTTAGTGAAAAAGTTTTTCCTAATATCCAATCTAAACCTCCCCCACTGCAACTTGAGACAATTACTCCTCGTTCTGTCATCTGCTACCATTGAGAACAGTCTAGAGCCATCCTCTTTGGAACCCCCTTTCAGGTAGTTGAAAGCAGCTATCAAATCCCCCCTCATTCTTCTCTTCTGCAGGCTAAACAATCCCAGCTCCCTCAGCCTCTCCTCATAAGTCATGTGTTCTAGACCCCTAATCATTTTTGTTGCCCTTCGCTGGACTCTCTCCAATTTATCCACATCCTTCTTGTAGTGTGGGGCCCAAAACTGGACACAGTACTCCAGATGAGGCCTCACCAATGTCGAATAGAGGGGAACGATCACGTCCCTCTATCTGCTCGCTATGCCCCTACTTATACATCCCAAAATGCCATTGGCCTTCTTGGCAACAAGGGCACACTGCTGACTCATATCCAGCTTCTCGTCCACTGTCACCCCTAGGTCCTTTTCCGCAGAACTGCTGCCTAGCCATTCGGTCCCTAGTCTGTAGCGGTGCATTGGATTCTTCCATCCTAAGTGCAGGACCCTGCACTTATCCTTATTGAACCTCATCAGATTTCTTTTGGCCCAATCCTCCAATTTGTCTAGGTCCCTCTGTATCCTATCCCTGCCCTCCAGCATATCTACCACTCCTCCCAGTTTAGTATCATCCGCAAATTTGCGGAGAGTGCAATCCACACCATCCTCCAGATCATTTATGAAGATATTGAACAAAACCAGCCCCAGGACCGACCCCTGGGGCACTCTACTTGACACCGGCTGCCAACTAGACATGGAGCCATTGATCACTACCTGTTGAGCCCGACAATCTAGCCAGCTTTCTACCCACCTTATAGTGCATTCATCCAGCCCATACTTCCTTAACTTGCTGACAAGAATACTGTGGGAGACCGTGTCAAAAGCTTTGCTAAAGTCAAGAAACAATACATCCACTGCTTATACAAATTCTTATGGCTGAGAATTTACTACTGTTCAAGGAACAACAATTTTTAAAGTGAGAATTATTGCATAGTTAGGAAAGAAACAGACAGACTAAAGATAGGGGGTGGAGGGGGGAGAAAAAGTCAGAGGGTGACCTCTGTGGTGCTTAAAGGTCCTACTGTCAAAAGCCCATGTTTGGATTAGCAAACCAGAAACAGTAGCATGAACAGACATGCTAGACGTGTAGACTCTAAGCACAGGGCAAATTCCAAAGTACAAACAATGGGATAGCAAAAGAACTTCAGCCATAGGAAGAGGGATGGGGATTTTGATAGACTGGTTCCCCCTACTGAAAATAGGTTTTCCATAATTATGCACTTCCTTCCACCATGCAGTTTTTATAGCTGCCTAGTCAAAGGGATAGTGGAGAAGACAAGGTGATGCCAAATTAGAAAAGATCCAACTGACTCAGTTAAACATAGCTTTAATTATAGGTAGTTCACCAGTTTTTTCAAGCATTACAGCAGGCAGAACCAAATGCCATTGCAATCCAGCAAAGTTTCCGAGCCCACTCGGCACACAAGTGATTTTGCTGATTGTTAGCTGCTTCAAATCGCATCATGCTTGCTTCCTCCATGCATATTTCAGCCTTCTAATATAGGCTAGTGCTGAAAAGTGAGGGATATATTTGGAGTGAAGAATTTCTTTGGTATACAAAATATTTTATGTAAGAGCCATTGGCTAGATTTAGAAATTCTGGTGTCAGTTTAGTTGTGAAGCAAGATACTACACCTCCCCTATAAAAGTCTGGATGAGGGGGGCAAATGAGCAGTCAGTCATTTCACTGTTAACATGGATCCCACCACCTCTAATAAGGTTACTTGAGCAATTGTCTGAACCGACCAGGAACAGAAATCCTAAGTGTTATTTTTATTCTACTTTTATCATTATATTGGTACTAAGAGAACAAGAGTTACCTTGTCACCTTTTTAGACAAGTTCACCTCCTGCACATTCAGCCACAGATATATACTTCTGGACCTCTCTCTTTAAAGAAGGGGGAAGGCCTGTTCCATGCCTAGGGTGCTAGCTTGGGACTTGGGAGGTCTGGGTTCAGTTCCCTGGCCCCTGCTACAGATTTCCTGTGTGGTCTTGGGCAAGTCACTTTCTCTGTGCTACAGTCTCTCTCCCCATTTTACAGATTTGGAGGGGGGAGAGGGTAGTGGTAATTCCCTACTTCAGAGAAGTGAATAGAAGATAATCTCAATATAGTTGAGAGGTACTACAGTAATAAGGGTATACAGATGCCTTAGACAGGTTTGTTCTAAAGGAATGCTTACCTGTTCTTCTGAAACAGCCAGCTGCATTATAGACAGAGGCTGTAGGCCATAGTTTTAGTAATTTAAAGTTTCCCCAATGAAGGTGACAGGAGCACTGACAAGTTGGCATCACATGCTACCTAGTAAGAGAATTTGTTGCTAGAGCTGAGGAGTAAAGATACCTGTTGGTTAATGTTAGCAGTATCGTTGCTTAGATTCATTCCACAACTTTTCGTTACCATCTTGCAGCAGCTATTTGGAACAGCTGAACTGAGAGATCCAAATGTAGTATTGAACCAGTCGGTGTAGTTCTGAGCACCACAGCACTGGAACTGGAATGAACAACAGTTTAAGTAAGTGAAATAGTGGAATTTTAAGCAAAAAAGATTTCTGCTACAGTGATTTTTGTAACACCCTGAGCCCAAGGCAGAGCTCTTAGGAAGACTTCCAAAGCTGTTCAGATTATTACAGTAGCAGCAGACAGTCCTGGGATGACAAGTTACCTTCCAGCTGGTCTATGTAAGTGGCCTACTTCCCAGTTCTAAAACAGATAGACCTGGTCAAGTTGTTAAGTGAGACTTATTCAAAGAGTTTGTCAGAAGCCATTACTTGCCTTCCCTTTGAGTTTTTAAGCTTTGTGGAATGCCTTTTTTATGCCTGGTTGCATTATTCATTGCAAAACAATCTAACAAATTATAGCATGTTTCTTTTGACTAGATCTTCATTGAGAGAACTCCTTAGGTTATTGTAGTTATAATTGATCATCATTCAGCGAGAGAGAGAGTTCAGATTCTTGCCAACGTGAGGCAAAGATCTTAGATTTCTTATGCTTTTGGTTTGAACACACATTAGTTCGGTTTAGTTTGTTAAATCTCAAGCCTAGACTTGTTTTCTAACCCTTCTGGAGGAAGCAAGATTAAGTCTATTCTTATTTACCCAAAATTAGACATGTTCTAGATATGAAGAGCATTCTTTTTAAATAGGATTTCAGTTAGTCAAGTCATCTTGCTTGGTGATCTCCTGTGGGAGAAGAACTCTCCCATCTCATTCTTTTATTACAACTTGGTTACACATGTCTAATGCAGTTGTACCAGCCCCAAGAAGCTGAACGAAACAAGTAGGATCACTTCATAGTTTGAGCAGAAGCAGATTCTATACTTGAAATTCATTAACAGACTAACCAAAGCAAGATGTAGGTCTCTTATGAAGGGGGTAAGCAGAACAAATTTGGGGGCTTTAGATTAAGAGAAAGATGGAGAGCCCGCAGAAGTGACAGCCTCCATTTTTATGTGCCCTCAAAGGCATACAATACAAAGAAAGTTATAGTGAATTCCTCTATTCATTGTAGCATAGGAGAGATCACTTACATTCTCCTGTAGGTGGTCTATTCCTTTGGTTACTTGGGATTCTCTGTTATATTTGTCAAGAGTCTTCAGGAAGCTTCTCAGTAGGTTGTCATGCAGCTGTAAGTAAAGTAGAATTGGTTATATATGCATACAGAAGAGATGTAACTGTGGACAAGTTCCTGCACACTGCATTGTCCTCCAGAGAATCATGGAAGTACTGGACCCACATAGCATGCTATTTCTGGCAATGTGTTTTCACCACAAAAATGGCAACATTAACTAGAAGGGGTATTAAAGAATAAGTGATCTTTGAAAGCTCACTAGGAGACCTTGTATCAAACACAATATTTGCACTTGGAACCTTTCACATGCAAATTTCAAGATCAGAGATTAAATTGAACTATTAGCCAGACATCCTGTCTCTGCACTGTTAGCCATATTTAAGTGCAAGTCCCAAGTCAAAAAAAGAACTTGTTCCATAAATTTCTCCATTTTGTGTGTGTGTGTATATATGTGCACATACATCCCTAAATGCTTGTTATTGCTGAACACAAGACATTAGTCATGGCACAGACCGTTATGTAGTACTGATTCAATTTCTGCTAGTAGTGAGGCCTGCTGTGGACGAGTTTCTTTGCACCCCATTCTCAGCAGTTGGTTCATTGAGCACCTCTAAGCTCTGGTTCAGAGATGCTAGTGAGCATTGTCATTTCCCTAACTAGAAGGACAATTCTTAAGCTGCTGGAAGAAAAGTAGCCATCAGTCTTACAATTAACATTATGTGGCTTATGCAGTTCGAAAACATTTCCAGCCAGATTTAGACATGGGAGCATTGTTCTTTTTAAGGCTTCTGGTTTTGCTCAAGCCCATAATGAGTTCTAGCTATTTGACTGCTCCAGTAATACAGCCAAAATATGTTTTTTTCTCCATACCGCCTCCTCCCAGATTCTATTTTGCATTTAGAAATAGCAGTGGTGATTTTGGACTTACCATTATGATGTTCAACTAAATGTAAAATATGTTTTCTTGGCAGAAGATGCGATATAAACATCTTTACCATTAGTTTCAGGTTATCCTTATAACTCTAGGGAATACCAATTCTAGTTAATACTGGAGATTAAATTTTAAGATCACCCTCGCTTCCAACCATAAGGAAAACCTAGCTGAGTTCTTAGGGAAGAATTAGAATTCTGCCAATATAAAAGTATTGCTTTGTATACTTCTATTTCGACACCTTTGCATTTGCTGATTTCCCGCTTGCCCCACCTGGTGAAGAGCCAGCTGCATGCTTGGTGTTTGGTTACCTCGAGTACTAGTGCTCTCTTTGACCTCCCCCTTAGAGAGGTTTTTCTCCATACTGTTTTATAGCTTTTAGTGGGCCAAGGCTTGAAGTTCTAGGTCTACCCATCTCCCTTCTCTCACCTGCAACCTATGCTAACACCAATCACTGACAGTCTAGCATGCTGCCACTCAACCCAACTAGGTTTTCAGACCAATTTTAACTATGAAGCTTTGTCAGAGAAACCTGTGGAACTGTAACCTGCAAGTTATTATGCTAATACTTGGAGTCCTTACCTCCCTGGTCGCAATGGTGGCTACTGGTTCAGAAACTTCAATCTCATATGCAAAGCTTTCAGGTAGATACTTCAGCATGTGGTTATACTATAAAAGAGACTTGTGATTCCACAGGTTGTTGCTCCATCTGTCCCAATAAAATTCAACCTAGAATCCTGAAGTGTAGCTGTGATTTCATGGATCTCTAGTAACAGATATTCTACGTTTGGGATTAAACTATAGTAATGTTGCTGTATGGAGAAGAATTCAGTGCTAAAAAGTAGAGTCACTCAACTCAGCAAGTTAATTTTAGAGTTTTGTGGAGCCATTAGTGTGGCTTTTTATAGAAGAACTTCTTAACCATAAATACACTTACAGCAAAGAAATCTGTGATGCCAACTAGGGTTCCTGGAAAGGACCCTGTACTTGAAACCTCTCACATAAAGAAAGCATGGTATTTGTTAGCACTACACATACTTTAAGTTTCCACACACCTACCTTCGCTCTGTAAGCGTAGGCAGAGATGCCAACTATGATTTCAATCAAGAAGATAATCAGCAGCATGCCTGTGAACTAACAATAATAATTTCAGGTAGCATTCATCTTCTCACAATGCACAGTTAGCATACTCTTGTTTTAGATTAATCCAACCAAACATATCACTAGTCAGTGTTACATATACTATATCAAGAGGCACTGGCATCTTTACCTTGGTTTTATTTTTCCTTGCATCATCCCATAGTTCAATTTTAAATGTATATAAAATTGGAAGATCTATCATAGGAAATGTAAGCCTAAGGGGCCAGCACACTGTGCATCCATCCAAGTCACTTCTGGAAGTAATAGATTATGACAAATAATAAGATGCAAGTAAGTCAGTCACAAGTAGCCAGGTTGAGGGTGTTTGAACACATCCAGAAAGATTTCATGTCAACCCATAATTGTTAAGAGCTGCTATAGTTAGTGCAACTCAGCAAATATTCTGGGGATTGTGTAATTGTCTACAGTCAGATTTCTGTCTCAACTGCAATTAAGTTTTGTGGCATATGACAGACAATATTTTAAAGTTACTAGATGGCCTTAAAGGACTGCATTGTAGGTGTTCAGTCTTCACTAAAAACAAAAAAACATAAAAAACTGTATATTGTGACCAGATGCTTAACACGATTAATATTAACAACATGGGGAGAAGGACAAAGCCCAATATGAAGAAAATAGCTTAAAGAATATTTAGGTAGGATAGATGTATTCAAATTGGCAGGGCTTGATGACATTCAGCCAAGGATACTTAAGGAACTAGCTAAAGCAATCTCAGAACCATTAGCGATTACCTTTGACAGTGTATGGAGGACGGGGGAGGTCTCAGAGGATTGGAGAAGGGGAAACATTGTTCCTCTTTTTAAAGATAGGTACTGAGAGGACTTGTGAATTATAGACTAGTCAGCCTAACATCCATACCTGGAAAGATACTGGAACTAGTTATTAAACAGAAAAAGTTTGTGAGCACCTAGAGCGGGGGTGGGCAAACTACGGCCCGCAGGCCGAATCTGGCCCCTGAGGGCTTTGGAACCGGCCTGCGGGACTGCCCCCCGTGGTGCTGCAGGCCCCGCGCCGTTCTCAGAAGTGGCCAGCACCACGTCCCTGGGGTCCTGGGTGGGGGTGGGGGGGACAGAGGGCTTCGTGTGTTACCCTTGCCTCCAGGTATCACCCCCCATTGGCCAGGAGCGGGGAACCACGGCCAGTGGGAGCTTCGGGGAGGTACCTGGAGGCGTGGCAAGGGCAGCACGTGGAGCTCTGTGCGCCTCCCCCCCCCCCCCCAAGCGGCTGCACAGGGACGTGGTTCCGGCTGCTTCCCAGAGTGGCGCAGCGTGGGGCCAGGGAAGGCATGCAGGGAGCCTGCCCTGGCCACGGTGCGTGCCGCTGCCACCCCGGAACCGCTTTAGGTAAGCGGTGCTGGGCCAGAGCCCGAACCCCTCCTCCCCCCCCCCAACTCCCTGCCCAGAGCCCCCTGCTGCACCCCAATTCCCTGCCCAGAGCCCCCTGCTGCACCCCGCGCCCCTCCTGCACCCCAACCCCCTGCTGTCCTGCTGCATCCTGAGCCCCCGTGCACCCCAACCCACTGTCCTGAGTCCCCTGCACCCCCATGCACCCTAACCACCTGCCCTGAGCCCCCGCCGCACCCTGCACCCCAACCCCCTGCCCTGAGCCTACTGCTGTACCCCACACCCCTCCTGCCCCCCAACCCCCTTCCCTGAGCCCCCTGCTGCACCCCTCCTGCACCCCAGCCTCCTGCCCTGAGCTCCCTCCCCTCCTGCACCCCAGCCCCCTGCCCTGAGACCCCTAATACATCCCACACCCCTTCTCTGTCCCAATCCCTTGCCCTGAGCCCATTCCTGCACACTGCACCCCCTCCGACACCCTGCACTCCCTCCCACACTCCAACCCCTGCCCTGCATACAATTTCCCCACCCAGATGTGGCCCTCGGCCCAAAAGGTTTGCCCACCCCTGACCTAGAGATAGTAGAATTGTAGAGGAAAAGCCAACAGGGATTTTTCAAGAACAAATCATGCCAAACTGGCCTAATTTCCTCCTTTGACAGGGTTACTGGCCTAAAGGATAGGGGAGAGCTGTAGATGGGATTTATCTGGGTTTTAATAAAGCTTCTGACACAGTCCCACATGACACTCCTAAGAAAATTCAGGAAATATGGTCCAAATGAAATGACTATAAGGTGAGTGAACAACTGGTTGAAAAGCCATACTCAGTAGTTATCAATGGTTGTCTGTCAGACTAGAAGGACAGATCAAGTGGAGTCCTATGCTGGGTCCAGTACTGTTTAATGTTTTCATTAATGACTGATAATGGAATGGAAAATATGCTGAAGATTTGTAGATCTTTCGGAGGCAGGGGCAAGCACTTTGGAGGACAGTATTAGAATTCAAAGTGACCTTGACAGTTTGGAGAAGCAATATATAGTCAAGTGCAAAGTACAACACTTAGGAAGGAGAAGAATAACCACCACCAACTACAAAATGGGAAATAACTAGCTAGGCAAGAGTACCGCAAAAAAGGATCTGGAAATTATAGTGGATCACATACTGAATGAATACAAGTGAACAAGTGATATGCAATTGCAAAAAAGGCTAATAGTCTGGGATGTATTAACAGGAGTGTCATAAGATAGACATTGGAAGTTATTGTTCTGCTCTACTTGGCACCAGTAAGGCCTCAACTGGAATACTGTGTCCAGTTTTGGGCACCATGCTTTAAGAAAGATGTGAATAAATTGGGGAGTCCAGAGGAGAGCAACAAAAATGATAAAAAAGGTTTTGAAAACCTGACCTATGAGGAAAGGTTAAATAAAACTGGGCATGTTTTGTCTTGAGGAAAAAAAAAAAAAAAAGAGACTGTGCATGGGTCTTCTAACAGCCCTTAACATATTTGAAGACTTAACCAAAGGACTGTGTTCAATTGTTCTCCATGTCCACAGAAGTAGTAGGACAAGTAGTAATAGGCATAATCTGTGGCAAGAACATAAGAACGGCCATACTGGGTCAGACTAAAGGTCCATCCAGCCCAGCATCCTGTCTACCGACAGTGGCCAATGCCCCAGAGGGAGTGAACCTAACAGGTAATGAACAAGTGATCTCTCGCCTGCCATCCATCTCCACCCTCTGACAAACAGAGGCTAGGACACCATTCCTTACCCATCCTGGCTAATAGCCATTAATGGACTTAACCTTCATGAATTTATCCAGTTCTCTTTTAAACCCTGTTATAGTCCTAGCCTTCACAACCTCCTCAAGCAAGGAGTTCCACAGGTTGACTGTGCGCTGAGTGAAGAAGAACTTCCTTTTGTTTGTTTTTAACCTGCTGCCCATTAATTTCATTTGGTAGCCCCTAGTTCTTACATCATGGGAACAAGTAAATAACTTTTCCTTATTCACTTTCTCCACACCATTCATGATTTTATATACCTCTATCATAGCTCCCCCTCCCCCAGTCTACTTTTTTCCAAGCTGAAAAGTCCTAGCCTCTTTAATCGCTCCTCATATGGGACCTGTTCCAACCCCCTAATCATTTTAGTTGCCCTTTTCTGAACCTTTTCTAATGCCAGTATATCTTTTTTGAGATGAGGGGACCACATCTGTACGCCGTATTCAAGATGTGGACGTACCACAGATTTATATAAGGGCAATAAGATATTCTCCATCTTATTCTCTATCCCATTTTTAATGATTCCTAACATCCCTGCTGCTGCACACTGTGTGGACATCTTCAGAGAGCTATCCATGATGACGTCAAGATCTTTTTCCTGATTAGTTGTAGCTAAATTAGCTCCCATCATATTGTATGTGTAGTTGGGGTTATTTTTTCCAATGTGCATTATTTTACATGAAATTTCATTTGCCATTTTGTTGCCCAATCACTTAATTTTGTGAGATCTTTCTTAAGTTCTTCAGTCTTCTTTGGTCTTAACTATCTTGAGCAGTTTAGTATCATCTGCAAACTTTGCCACCTCTCTCCAGATCATTTATGAATAAGGTGAATAGGATTGGTCCAAGGACTGACCTTTGGGGAACACCACTAGTTACCCCTCTCCATTTTGAAAATTTACAATTTATTCCTACCCTTTGTTCCCTGTCTTTTAACCAGTTCTCAATCCATGAAAGGATCTTCCCTCTTATCCCATGACAACTTAATTTACTTAAGAGCCTTTGATGAAGGACTTTGTCAAAGGCTTTCTGGAAATCTAAGTACACTATGTCCACTGGATCCCCTTTGTCCACGTTTGTTGACCCCTTCAAAGATCTCTAATAGATTAGTAAGACATGATTTCCCTTTACAGAAACCATGTGGACTTTTGCCCAACAATTTATGTCCTTCGATATGTCTGACAATTTTATTCTTTACTATTATTTCAACTAATTTGCCTGGTACTGACGTTAGACTTACTACTCTGTACTTGCCAGGATCACCTCTAGAGCCCTTTTTAAATATTGGCGTTACATTAGCTATCTTCCAGTCATTGGGTACAGAAGCTGATTTAAAGGACAGGTTACAAACCATAATTAACAGTTCTGCAATTTCACATTTGAGTTCTTTCAGAACTCTTGGGTGAATACCATCTGATCCCGGTGACTTGTTACTCTTAAGTTTCTCAATTAATTCCAAAACCTCCTCTAGTGACACTTCAATCTGTGACAATTCTTCAGATTTGTCACCTACAAAAGACAGATCAGGTTTGGGAATCTCCCTAACGTCCTCAGCCGTGAAGACTGAAGCAAAGAATTCATTTAGTTTCTCTGCAATGACTTTATCATCTTTAAGTGCTCTTTTTATATCTTGATCATCCAGGGGCCCCACTGGTTGTTTAGCAGGCTTCCTGCTTCTGATATACTTAAAAACAGTTTGTTGTTACCTTTTGAGTTTTTGGCTAGCTGGTCTTCAAACTCTTTTTTGGCTTTTCTTATTACATTTGTACACTTAATTTGGCAGCGTTTATGTTCCTTTCTATTTACCTCACTAGGATTTGACTTCCACTTTTTAAAAGATGCCTTTTTTATCTCACTGCTTCTTTTACATGGTTGTTAAGCCACAGTGGTTCTTTTTTTAGTTCTTTTACTGTGTTTTTTAATTTGGGGTATACATTTAAGTTGAGCCTCTATTATGAGGTCTTTGAAAAGCGTCCATGCAGCTTGCAGGGATTTCACTCTAGCCACTGTACCTTTTAATTTCTGTTTAACTAACCTCCTCATTTTTGCCTAGTTCCGCTTTCTGAAATTAAATGCCACAGTGTTGGGCCGTTGAGGTGTTCTTCTCACCACAGGAATATTAAATGTTATTATATTATGGTGTCTATTTCCAAGCAGTCCTGTTATAGTTACCTCTTGGACCACATCCTGTGCTCCACTCAGGACTGAATCAAGAGTTGCCTCTCCCCTTGTGGGTTCCTGTCCCAGGTATTTTTTGGAGGAATTATATGATCCTAGGTTTGATTCTTGTGGCTTTATGCATATGAATGTTACAACCTCTCCCTTTCCTTCCTGCCTTACAAATATTCCCATTAGGAGGGGTTCTGGTTCCTGCTTAATTCCAAAGTCTCCTTTGCAGTCAGCCAATTTAATTCTTATTGGAGTAAGATGCTACTTTGGTTACCCATTGGAGTGATCAAATATTTAGAACATAGTAGTTTGCTAACAAACTAGCCACCGGCATCTAGATGCCATTATCTGCTATAGAGTCCAGGGACCCATATTTCCAAGCCACATTTCCCAGAGAATGCTCATTTAAAAAACAAAAAGTGATTTCCTTCAGCTTAAGTGAAGTTTGAGTATTTAGGGCCCAAACCCACAAAAACTCTGCATCTCTCCTCCTAGAGTCAGGACCTATATATGCTGGCCAGGTCATCCAATTTTGTTTACAGTGCTTAGTACTTAAGACACACTGTTCAAGAAAAATGTAAGATACAAAAAAGTTTTCATGTAACTACTATTACATGTAACAGCTATAAGTTCAATAGCTGATATTTGGCTTGTTCTTTCCAAAACTAGGAGGTTTATTTCAGAAGCTGATTTGGCTACAGCTGTAGTCTGCTGCTTCTATTGATTTGAGGGACTTAGAAGGTCCTGTCTTCTAAGAAATGTGCTCAACTCCTAGTGGCATTAGTGGAAAGAGAGACCCTATAATAGGCAGGTAAACCCAGTATGTGGAGAGTGAGTAAGGAGAGGAAAGAGGTAACCTAGTACTTTGCATATTTGTTATAGACAACAGGATTTTTTAAACTACTAAAATAGCCCTGGAAATCAATGGGCAACATCAACATCTGTACAGACCACTGCGTATATTGTTCTATCGTTTTTGAACATCAGAATTGCACACTGGTTTCAATGGAAAGTTGTGCTGCAAAAAGATGTCTGCAGCATCTGAATCAACACCGTGCATGGGGGGAAAAAAAAGCTTCCCCACATAAGAGGATTAACCCAAGTATGCTGAACTCCCAAATCCATATTTAGGCAAAGCTTAAGTGTCAGGTAGACACAAATCCCACTGAAGTCAATAGGAGATGCACATCCTGAGCAATTTTGAAAAGAATCAAGTTATTCATTTAGTGCCAGAAAATGACTTGAGCAGTCTAACTTAAGTGCTCATGTTTGAAAAGTTTGGCTGTAGCCCTTTAGAAGCTAACTTTTTGCCATTATCCCGTCCCACTAAAGTAACTGCACTCAGAGACTGGAGTGTTAGTTTTATATATAAAATTCAGAATCTGGGTAGCCCTGCAACTGGAATGAGCGATATACTTGTTTGTTCTCCAATAATTAGCCCTTTCACACTCATAAGCACTGGCAAGTCAGTTCCCAAACATGTTACATTTGAGATAAAAGCTTGTTTCACTTCACCCCATAGTACCACCTTAACCTTCAGAGATTTGTAAACCAACATCAGATGCATCAGTGTTAGAAGGCAGGTGTGGACAGTGCAGAAGTGAGTATGTGGGGTTCAGCAAGGCACCCTCAACATATAGCCACTGCTTTCACCCTATTGCTTAAGGAAGATTTCTTTAACCTCTGAAATTTACACTCTAGAGCCCACATAGACAAGACATCAAGCTAAAGATGGTTTACCACTTTGATCATCGTATGACTGGACTTCAATATGGCAATTGCACCAAAGGCTGAGACAGAGATGATCACACCACCAACAATGGTGATAATCACAGGGACACCAGACGAGGTTTCATTCACCAACACGAAAGCATCATGGAGTTTCATCTGAACAGAGACTCCTATGCACAGGAGCACAACCCCAGAAACCTGGAAGGAGTAGGGGGAGAGAGCAGATAACATTAAAGTCTGTCAGATAGGAACAATCTGAATGATCAAAGATCCTTTATCAAAATGTAGCTCCCAATAGCCATCAGCCCACTGAAGAGACTACAATACAAGAATCCTCTTTGAAGAGATTTTACTTGTTGGTATCTCATGTTGAGCACAATGGAACATCATGCTATTTGTTCAAGGCAATAGTCACAGTAGTTTCCAGCTCTACAATGAGGCCCATCTCCAAGTGTACCATAATAGCAAGTTGCGCCTTTCATGGACTTTGGAGGGATGGGTGGGGGAGGAAAAGAGGCAGGGCATCCAAGTCTGCTTCTGGCTACGTCTGTCTACACCTTCAACGTTGAGTCAATCCCTCTTGACTACCCTAGCTTGAGTGAAAGCAGCCAGACTGTGAAACAACACCTGAGCTGCACTGTGGTTGTGTTAGCAGCTAATGAGTTGGGCTAACTCCAGCTGTAGCCTGCACTGCTTCTGGGGCCAGTTAATTCAATTTAGGCCACCATGATCACACACAAGAATCCTTGAATGGAGATGGGCTTGCATTGGGGCAACACTTAAGTTAACGCTGCAGTAAAGACATTCCATTGCCTCTCTCAAGCATATGGGAATGGACAGAACAAGACTTGTTGAGAGACTCCTCTAAGCAAGATTGGTGGAGTCAGCAGTGGTCACTGACAAAGTGAACTGCAACAAGAGTTGGACTTTTGACATCAGTTGTTCTAAAGTAGTGAGCAGCTCCCATCTTCCCCATTTTAGTTAAAGATGGGAAGGAGTGTAGGTTAGGAAAGGGATAGGGAAATGCCTCCTATTATATAACAAGGATCCCTCCAACCAAGAAAGAACCACCTTTAAACAGATCGGAGAGGGAGTCCCTTACAGTCTAAGAGGAGAAAGAGAGAAGACGACTTTTAAGAATATCTACCCTTGAGACACACACAATAGCTGATTAGGTCCTCCTCTCTCAGCATGAAACCAGACTTGTAACTAACAAAGATTCCTATTTAAAAAAAAGTAGGTTTATATGTAAGGCTATGGTAACATAGCGTCTTTCTTTACTCTTGTTGGAAAACCGCCTCCAGAATGTTGCTGTTTAAAGTTTGCGTGTGATTAACTGCTTTCTCTGGCGAGAGATTAGTTTTTCACACTAATAACTGGTTAATTACACAAACCAAAACAAGACTTTCAAATACTCAACTCTTGGGAAATAAGCAGGTCAAGCTTTAATACACAGTTTAAAATAGATCAGCTTCATTTTCCACCAGGCCCCGTAAAGGAAAAAAGTGCCTTCCTAATAGTCTTGAATCCTCTTTAAATCAGGTTCAGAGTTGATATAACTGGTGGAAGCCACTCATTTAACAACAAACTACTGGAGGATAAAAACTAGAAGTAGTATCCTAGACAAGCAATTAACTGAAAACTTTAAAAAAAAAAAAAAACCAAACAACCACCCAGCACATCACCTACAACATATCTTACAACAGACACTAGTTAAAAGATTAAAATAAATAAATCCTTGTTACAGTGAATCACTCTAATGCTCAAATAAATTGGTTAGTCTCTAAGGTGCCACAAGTACTCCTTTTCTTTTTGCGAATACAGACTAACACGGCTGTTACTCTGAAACCTATTATAAAATATAGTACTTTGTATCACTACTATATATACACACACACACTAAGAGAAATTGAGACATATATATACACACACACACACTCACCCTACAAACCCATAATTACAGAGCATCTAATACAATAATAAAAACTGTTAGGTGAACAAAAAAACACCACCACCACAAAACAAAACAAAACAAAACCCACAGAACAAACAAAAGCCCAACAACAAATGACTACATAGGATTAGAAGAAACATTAAGACTTGATTAGCATTTCCTATTACACACTTCAAAATTAATCTTAACATTCATCTAGGAGTTATATATTATTATCAAACTAAAAAGGTATACATAAATAGTTATATTTTTCATTGAATTCATTAGTGTGATAAACATAACTTTTCAGATGACAAGAAGTTTTTTAAAAAGTTAATCAAGATCCAAACAGGATTAAACAAAAGATAAGTCAAAAGATAGTAAAAATCTTACCCAATAAAACAAATCAATAAAATATAAGCAAACTTTAATTAATATTAGCTTCTTGCTAGAATCTATTTTCCTCATTTTGCCAGCTAACCACTAGACCATTCCTGCTAGGAACATCACAAGAGACAGAAATAATATTTCTGATATGGGTTTGTAATTGCCACCCTTGTCAGCAATTTAAATCTAGTTCTGTTCTTATTGGCAAATTTCAATTAGATTAAAGATCCACAGGTGTAATTGTTAAGGACCACATTCTGACATGCTTATGCGCCTACTGAGTAATACATTACTCTGTCAATACCCCCATTGGTTCCAACGGGAATACTCAAGGAATAAGATACTACATATGGGGAGAAAGGGTATCAGAATTTGCCCTTATGTACTAGCTACATCAGAGGTGGGCAAACTACGGCCCGTGGGCCACATCCAGCCTGTGGGACTATCCTGCCCAGGCCCCGGAGGCTCACCCCTGGCCCCTCCCCCGCTCTTCCCCTTCCCCCACAGCCTCAGCGCTCCAGGCTGCTCTGCGTAGGAATGTGCTACTGGTAGCAGTTATGGAGAGCAATTTACTACAGTACACCGGCGCAATGCTCTGGGCGGTACGGCTGTAGCGCAGCCAGCCACCATTGCTCTGTGCTGCACGGTAAGGGGTCAGGGAATGGGGGGGTTGGATAGAGGGCAAGGCAGTTCGGGGTGGTGGTCGGGGTGGAGATGTGGATGGCGTCGGGGCAGTCAGAGGACTGGGAACATGGGGGGTTGAATGGGAGCAGGAGTCCCGGGGGGCAGTCAGGAAGGGGGGATGTGGTGGTGGGGGGCAATCGGGTTCCGGGGGCGGTCAGGGAGCAGGTGTGTGTGTGTGGAGGATGGGGTAGGAGTCCTGTGGATGCCGTCAGGGAACGGGGGGGTTGGATGGGGCAGGAGTCCCGGGGGGGGAGGGGCATCAGCAGATGAGACGCAAGGGGGGGGGCAGATAGGGGGCAGGGTTACAGCCTGGCACAGCCTCCCCTAACCAGCCCTCCATACAATTTCTGAAACCCGATGTGGCCCTCAGGCCAAAAGGTTTGCCTGCCCCTGAGCTACATACAAAAAGCAAAATGGGTTCCCAGCAATTAGACATTTTCCTTTTAAAGGTGCAGTGGGAAGTATTTCAATTTGTTTCTGTCTCTCTGCAACCGGGGTGGGCACTCCAGGCCCATGCCACTTCCTGCAGCCCCCACTGGCCTGGAGCGGCGAAAGGCAGCCAGTGGGAGCCGCAATGAGCTGAATCTGTGGACATAGCAGGTAAACAAACTGGCCCAGCCCGCCAGGAGGCTTACCCTGGTGGGCCAGATGCCAAAGGTTGCTGATCCCTGCCTTAGACTCTGATCCATGAAAAGCTAGCATGTGAGGCAGGAAGCCACTTCAGCTAGCCAATAGGATGCCAACCAGAGGGGTGTGTGCTAAGGTCCACCCCTCTCATGGAGATAAGTGGCTAAGTCCAGACTTCAGGAAGACACCTGTCTCTGCTTGCAAATCCATTAATAGGAACCGGCTGCCTAAACTGCTTCTTGCAGAAATGAGTTAGCTACTGGCCTCACTCTACACAAAATGACTCACGGAGGAGGAGCCCACCTTATAATTTTTATCCCAGTAGTTAGAGCACTCACCTGGGATGTGGGAGACCCAGGTTTAATTCCCCCCCTTCACTACCAGAGAAGGCAGGGATTTGAACAAGGAATCTCCTACCTCTCAGGGATGGTTGAGCTAAGCACTGAACTAAAGGATATTCTGATAGGGACTACTTTCTGTCTCTCCGTTTGAACCTGTTCCATTGTAGAGTAAATAAGGAAAGAGTGGTTGGCATTGGGGGATTGGGTCTTCTACCTCCTAGATGGGTGTCCCAATCACTGAACTATTCACAGAATCACAGAAGCATTCTCACTCCACTCTTCTCTCTCTGGCCCAATGACTGTTCCCCTGTGGATAAGTACTTAAATAGTCAGGGAGAACAGAGACTGCTAGGAGTGAGCAGGCTCCAGCAGAGTCCTGGGACGTGGGACAAAGGGTATGTCTACACAGCAACTAGACACTCAGGCTCGCAGGGCTCAGGCTGCAGGGCTGATTCATTGTTGTGTAGGCTTCCAGGCTCAGGCTAGAGCCTGGGCTCTAGATCCCTGTGATGTGGGAGGGTCCCAGAACTCAGACTCCAGCCTGAGCCCGGAAGCCTACACATCAATGAAACAGCCCTGCAGGCTGGGCCCCACGAGCCCGAGTCAACTGGCAGGGGCCAGACATGGGTTTCTCGTTGCTGTGTAGATATTCCCTTAGACTTCAGCAAGAAATGGCTGGGAGTGGCCTGCTAAAGCAGGAGAGCCCCTGAACCAACAGGGAAAACAGTGCAAAAGTTCTCCAGGCAGGGAGTCTTGGGAGAGAACCTGAATAAGCAGGGGGACAAACAGAAGGGTCTGCAAAATTGTCCAGACAGGGAGGCCCGGGAGAGACCCCGAAGCAGCGGAAGGATTGCAGAGCTCTCCAAGCAAAACAGCCAGGGAATAGGAAGAGAAATGTCTGTTTGTTGGACTTTAATTTGGGACTTTTGTTTATTTTCTGTGAATAAACTCAGACCTCAGAGGGGGTGTTTTGACCACAGGAAAAGTGTGCGCAGTCTGCTAAAGGGCCCTGAAATTGGGGAAACAGAGGCAGGGTACTACAAAGTGACCTTTGGCCATGAAGGGGCACTCAGGAGGTGGCTGACCCCTGTCATTGCATCCAGCTGCCTGGAAGAAGGCAACAGCGTACATGCTCAGAGGCAGAAACATAGATGTGTAGGGAACTTCTACTCTAGAAACTAAGGTGCCGAGTAAATTTAGGCACCTACAGGGTTCAGCAGCAGTTTTGTGGATCCCAGTGGAGCCTAAACCTGGGACTTAAGTGCCTAAGCACCTTTCTGGAACAGGGCCTAGAAACCCAAAGATATAGATAGGGACCTAGTCGAATTTTCAGAATTGCCTAGCTGCCTTCACTGAAATCAGCTATGTGCCTGTCTGCATCTTTATGCACCTATGTACCTTTAAAAATGTGACTCCAAATCACTTTTGAAAATGGAACGTAGGCACTTTAAAAACATTTACCCTGTATTACCACCATTCTAATGAACAAATTGAGAGATGGAAAAAACTGGGCTGAATATTAGGAAAATCTTCCTGACAGGGAGATAGTCTCCCAAGGATAGTCCCACTGATAGCACTACTCACATTCATAAAGCTAAGCACCTGCATATGTCTTTACAGGATCATGGTTCAATCATATAGCTTCTTTCACTGTCTTAGGTGCCTTCTCTGTAAAACGGGGATAATGATGCTTTTACACACATCTATAAAATTCTTTGAGGTCTATACACGAAGGGCAGGATTTTCAGAACCACTCCTCATTGGCTTAACTACATTCCCATTGAAATCAACAGTAAATTTCCATCAGTATCAATGAGAGCAGCTAGACCAATGCTAAGCACTACTGAAAATTCCTCTTCCTCCCTCCTGCACCTAGTAAGTATTATTTAAGTGTTAAATAATACTTATTAATGATGGTTAGACTGTGCCATTAGTCACAGTTTACCAAAGCTATTGAACAAATAGCTCTTTTAATCTTTCCTCATATGTCAGTTCTGTTACCCCCTCAGAACATTTTTGTTGAGCATTTTCTCTGATCTGCCTCCAAAGTGTCAGTATCTTTATGGTTAATGAGGTGCCCAGAACTGAACACAGTATTCCAGATGTAGCCACCCTCTCGCCATAGACAGACTATTACTTCTCTGTTCTGTGATGTCATGCTTCTATGTAGACAGCCCAAAAATTACACTGACTTTTTTTTTGCTAAGATATCACATTGCAAAGTCATAGTCCATTATGCTGTCCACCATGACTGTTAGGTCTGCTTTACCCTCATTACTTCTCAAGTTTCTTCTTCCTATTGAATATTTACTGACCTGGGCACAAAAAGTGGGAGTGTGCTAATAAAGTTTGCAGATGATACAAAGCTGGGAGGTATTGCTAATTTAGAGAAGGACAGGGATACCCTACAGGAGGATCTGGATGACCTTGTAAACTGGAGTAATAGGAATAGGATGAAATTTAATAGTGAGAAGTGTAAGGTCATGCATTTAGGGATTAATAACAAGAATTTTAGTTATAAGCTAGGGACGCATCAACTAGAAGTAACGGAGGAGGAAAAGGACCTTGGAGTATTGGTTGATCATAGGATGACTATGAGCTGCCAATGTGATATGGCTGTGAAAAAAGCTAATGTCATCTTGGGATGCATCAGGAGAGGTATTTCCAGTAGGGATAAGGAGGTTTTAGTACCGTTATATAAGGCACTGGTGAGACCTCACCTGGAATACTGTGTGCAGTTCTGGTCTCCCATGTTTAAGAAGGATGAATTCAAACTGGAACAGGTACAGAGAAGGGCTACTGGGATGATCCGAGGAATGGAAAACTTGTCTTATGAAAGGAGACTCAGGGAGCTTGGCTTGTTTAGCCTAACTAAAAGAAGGTTGAGGGGAGATATGATTGCTCTCTATAAATATATCAGAGGGATAAATACCAGAGAGGGAGAGGAATTATTTAAACTCAGTACCAATGTGGACACAAGAACAAATGGATATAAACTGGCCACTAGGAAATTTAGATTAGAAATTAGACGAAGGTTTCTAACCATCAGAGGAGTGAAGTTTTGGAATAGCCTTCCGAGGGAAGTAGTGGGGGCAAAAGATCTATCTTGCTTTAAGATTAAACTCGATAAGTTTATGGAGGAGATGGTATGATGGGATAACATGGTTTTGGTAATTAAATATTCATGGTAAATAGGCCCAATGGCCTGTGATGGGTTTTTAGATGGGGTAAGATCCAAGTTACCCGGGAAAGAATTTTCTGTAGTATCTGGCTGATGAATCTTGCCCATATGCTCAGGGTTTAGCTGATCGCCATATTTGGGGTCGGGAAGGAATTTTCCTCCAGGGCAGATTGGAAGGCCCTGGAGGTTTTTCGCCTTCCTCTGTAGCATGGGGCACGGGTCACTTGCTGGAGGATTCTCTGCTCCTT